TATTTTCCCAATCAGTTGGCTAGCAGTTGGCCCTTGACCAGGCACCCTCAGGCGCAGGATCGGTCCCTCTTTCCCTCTTCGGCTTTCCCTACCTGGTGAAAGGTAAGGTAAGACGCAAGACGGAATCCAAGTCAGACAGAATCGTATTCCAACAGGACAGAAGCGCTCCTTTTCAATAGCCGGAACCTAACAAGCCGCCGCATCTTTTTTCCTGGCCATCGGCAACTATCTCAAGGACTTTGGCCATGGCAATCAAAGTCTACTCGACTCTAGATAGATCTCTTTGTTGTTAGGTTTAAGGATACATAACTTTATACAATTAGATAGTAAATGTAATCAACTTTTTTATTTATTTATGCTAAGTTAAGTTATGATGAATAAAACTATTGAATAATCATTATTGCTGTATCCTGTTTCGGGGAACCTATCCCGACTACAAAAAGGTGTGGCACCTGAACACAACAAAAATATTTTGATTTATGAAAATGTCCTTGATCCTTGCTAAGGACTCCATAAAATCAGGGACTTTTTTCGATCACAGGAAGCCGTCACACGCCCAAATCTGCCCACAAATAACGGAGATAACAAAACTGGCTTTGAAAATGTAGTTCAAGAAATCGCCAATAGGGGCTGCACCGTACAAGAAAAAAAGAATCGCGTCAAATGGCTGAAATACCAGGCGAACAGAAATCAGCAGAAAGCCAACGATTTAAAAAAAAAATATTTCGACCCCCCTAAAACATGCTGCGATTTTTTTTTGCAATTGCTACAGCTGCTTGCTGCTGATTCTGTTTGCCTGGTATTCCATCCAGGTTTTGGCCATTTGACGCGAGGTTTTTCTTTTTGTACGGTTGCGCCCCTATCGGTGAATTCTTGAACTACATTTTCCAAGCCAGTTACAAGCCAGTTTTGTTATCTCCGTTATTTGTGGGCCGATTTTGGCTTCCTGTGATCGGAAAAATGTTCCTGATTTTATGGAGTCCTTACCAAGGATTATTTTGCCAGACATACATATTTTTATTTATTTATTTATTTATTTATTAAATATATACATATATGTTATATATTAAATATATATATATCTGATTTTTCCCCTTATTTGTGGCCCGATCGAGACGTGCGATGCCTTCCTGTGTTTAGAAAAATGTTCCTAATTTGATGGCGTCCTTATCAAGGATCAAGGATTTTTACTCCAGAAATCTCCTTGATCATTCGGTAAGGACTCCAAAAACCCCAAATATACATATTTAATTTTCTCGACTACTTGTCGCCTGATCTGGGCGGGAGATGGCTTCATGTGATCGGAGAAATGCCCATAATTTTATGGAGTCCTTATTAGGGATCAAGGGTATTTTTGCCAGATATATGTATATATCTTGTTTTCTCCCTTATTTGTAGCCCGATCGGGACGTGCGACAGCTTCATGTGATCAGAAAAATGTCCCTGATTTTATGAAGCCCTTAGCAAGGATCAAGGACATTTTCCCCAATCAAAAATTTGTAGTTTTCTCCGGTATTTGATCACCGATCTGGGCGTGCCACTTTTTTTTGTAGTCTGGATATTTTCCCGATAAAGGACACAGAATGGATGATTTTTCAATAATTTGATATATTATAACTTAGCTTAGCATAAAAAAAAAAAATAAACAAGGGGAAAACATTTGTATCTACTATCTAAATATATGGATGCATATATCCTTAGACCTAACAACAACGAGATCTACATATCTATACTTTATATTCTAGAGTATCGTGCACGCGAAGCCACTCCTTGTTGTCGAGGACCAGGTCGAAAGATGACGATGGCCTGCTATGTGTAGTTTTCTCCGGTATTTGGTCACCGATCTGGGCGTGCCACGTTTTTTTGTAGTCTGGATATTTTCCCGATAAAGGACACAGCACGGATGATTTTTCAATAATTTGATATATTATAACTTAGTTTAGCATAAAAAAAAAAATAAACAAGTGGAAAACGAAGCCACTTCCTTGGTTACCATAGTGAAAGTCCTTGTTGTCGAGGACCAGGTCGAAAGATGACGATGGCCTGTTATGTGCGGATCTTGCAAGGGGTTTTCTGCTGTCACCTATCCCCTGTCCCTGCGCCTCTGTCCTGCTGGAATACGAGTATTTCTGGCTGGGATGCTTTGATAGGACTCCGTCTGGCGGGGGGAAACCGCATAAGACTCGGTTTGTGGCAAAGCGTAGGGTACATATGTAGGTCTGTGAAGGAAGATATATTGTAAAATATTTCCACAAATTTATACAGATTCACTTACGCGTCTCGAAGCCCAACGTTTGATTCGGCGGTGTATGTACCGGATGTTGCTGACGATCCTGATTTCAGGATGAGGATGGAGATCCCATGATAAACGATGATGGGCATATCGGTATCCGCGGGCAAGTGGTATTCCTGGCTACCGGAGGTGTCGATCTGCTAAAATTACAGGAAGTGTTAAATAAAATAAATGCAGAAATAATAACTTCGTAGCTTTACTTGGGGTTGGACGAGGGGGGATCGCGGCATAGTAGTTTGTCGCCAGAGAGCGTCTCGGCCAATAGAGCTGGAGGGAATACAAAATAAAAGAAGAAGAACCCAGAAAAATGATTCAATGGAAAAGATGAATAGAGGGAGAAACAAAAAAAACTTACCCACTCAAAGTCGATGAGGTAAAGCGGGGTGCAGGCGCGAAGATGATGTCGGTAATGTATGCACCTGCGATGCAAGTAAGTCGCACGTCGTAAAAATTTCAGATGAATAAATAAATATAATATATACATAAGTAATATATATAAATATTTATATGTCATAATCAGGGATAATATATACTTTTTCAGCGCATATATTATATATATATTATATATTATATATTATATATATTATATATATGTATATATATTATTATACCATTCAATACGATATACATATTTATGTGTATAGATAGTACATACTATATAGTTCTTATGATTATGCGACTATATATAGACTTTATGGCAAGTGGTTGTACTATGCGTTCGATGATAGTTTGGACTCTATGTTTAAACTGTACATGTATTTCTTTCCAGATTTGTACTATTAATTACTGTTATTATGGTTGATTATTGCGTTTTATTCAAGCATCCGCGCAAACCTTTTTCAGACTGTAGAAAATACCTCTAATCCAAATTGAAAACCAGACAGAACTTAACAGCATGACTTCCGGTAACGAGCACGGGCTCCTGGACCACACAACTTCTTGGGCGTAGATCGCCGACCAGCAGGGATCTTTCGTATTGCACCAGCATGTCTTAAATATTTATTAAACGTTGCGCTGTTTATGAAAAAACAACTTCCACAAATAAAGGCAGTCTTATAAGCTGTGTCCCCTCCCGCTCAATCCTCTGGACAGAGGATACAGCGCGTTTACGTCGTTCTGTTAAGAATAATCCGATCTGATCCAAATTCAGCAAATAATGATGATGCGTTTTCGGGTTTTTCGTATCTCTAAAATTTCAACAGCCATGGCTTGGCGGCTTCCGGCTCAGGAGACCGGCATAATCAAGGACACTGAGCCCTTGACATGATCTAAGTTACAGCCAGAAGGATAGGTAAGATGTTGAATGGCTCGAGGGTCTTACATCGTAATAATTCACCAAAGGAAATCAATGCATATCAGCAAAAATTTGCATGTTCCCTGTCTGCAGGGTTTCCATCAATTTTGCACCCATCATACACACATCTTCAACCGCCGCAAGCACCAGTTTTTAAATTAAGTTGGCAATTGAAATGATGTCCACGGCAGCAAGGAGCGCAGGGCATAGGGGTGGGTACGTCTTTAAATTGGTCACGTGTGTGGCACATTTTCGTATTTTTGAGCTGATGGTAAAGCAAAAGCGAGAAACTGTCACGACAATGGCGAACAAGCGGAAGCGGAAACGCGAAATGTGAAAAATGCGCAGAGCAAACAGAACGGTGACGGTGACGAGAGGCAGTGTGGCAGAGGGGGGGACAGGGACGTGTCGCCTAACAGCCACACGTACGCAGCCCCGCCCACAGAGTATGCCTCTGGGGCCCACGCATCACCCACCCCAGAAGTCTCCACACGCCCCCATTCACATCTCACATGGTATAGGCCTGGCTGGCAAAACTCGCTGGGGAGGCCATACCATAAGCCCCAGAACGCCGCGCGTACGTGTGTTATTTAATGCTTATCTTTATCCTTTTCCCATTAGTGTTATTGATGTTGGCAGTGGAAGTGGCAGTGGAAGTGGCAGTGGCAGTTGTCATCCCAGTGGAAACTTCCCCACAGGTGCGGCCTCGGCCGATAAACTTGTCCGCCAGCTAAACGTTGACAATTGATGCCAAGGATACCCGGCAAGGATGGAAAATCACGCGCAAAGCATTATTTTAATACCCCACGGCAGTCACATACACATGTGTGTCAGATTCAAGGGGCTCTCCGGATGTGTGTTGGTATACAGAAGTTTGTCGGGAATATTTAAAGCCCAGCCCTGGAATTTCCATGAGTGAGGACCCTTTAGGGACAGCTTTCTTTCTCCATCCAATCACAGTAACGATTGAGTTAGTCGTGACCTTGAAGGATTTTATCGGCAAGCTCCCTGCTGGAATTGAAATGCTCATTAACTATGCAAGCATATGGTTCAGGGTATTTCATTCTTGGAATATGGGTATTCCATTCTTCCATGTTGGTGATTGCGTTCCAGCTACCGTGAACGTGATTAGCGTCTTCAATGATTGCTTCGCTATCTGGGGATGATAGAAAGAGTGTTGGCCAATATAATTAGACAGGGACTTTCCAACACTCAAACAACCGATACCCCCCCTAAAATGCAGCCCTGCTGGAGTGACTTTCATTTCTAGACACATTCACGCAAACACACGAACATCAGTTTTTGATAGCCTTGACAATTCAATCACGGCGTCAGGTCTGTCAGTAATTGTGCTTTGTAATGTAGTTTTCGACTGGTGGAGAAACCGTTCACACATTTTTAAAACACCATTCCCAACAAATTCAAATGTTTTGCCAACATTTCGTATTAGAATAGCACATAAAATATAAGTTGTCGTGGATTTCGCAGTGCACCAAGTTTATTGAAAAACACCTTTCTGAATCAACGACATCAGCAACGAGTTCTATCATCTGTGCAAAGCAACGAACCAAAAGGGCACTCGAAAAAGCGACATATTCCGTCAAATACGAAACAGCGGACCAAGTTACGTATGTCCTAAGCAATTCCCGCCGTACTGCTGCCGTTTCCAGTACCGCCTCAAGAATCCTAAGCTACGAGTACAGCACCAGCACAATAATGTTGGCCTTGCAGCACAACGTGAACCCATATCGCCGGCACCTGCTGGTCCACGAGGTGCTTGCCATAGAAGGCGCCAAAAAAATAGTCAAAGATGCTCCTCACCTTCCCAAGCCACTCACTCCGTCCGGTCATGTGCCCGTCCTGGTGGACGTGCGATGCCTGGACACGAAGGCCGTCTATCACTTCCATGTGAATGTTCCTCCAGAAGATTACGAGGAGTTTGGACGAGATCCAGAGTGTCAACTCCTGCGGCTGATGTTCCCAATGGAACAACTTCCCTGTCCCATTCATGGCAACGGCCTTGATGGGTCGGGCACAATGGGTGTCTGGCACGACCCAAACTCCGCCGACAAGACTCTGCTACTGTTCGCTCAAACTGGCGTTCACCAGCTGTTTGCATCCCAGAACCTAACCATTCCAGCTTTAGTTTCTACATTCACCGAGGCTCCCACCGCCAATCAGGCGGACGAGATTATCAAGGCCCACTTCATGGCGGCCTTGCACCAGCAGCAATCAAGTCCCCTTGCCCACTCGGTGCTGTGGGTGAATAAGTTCCAGGAGCCTGTGCCGGCTTACCAGCCGCCTCCCTTACAGATTGAGGAGATCCAGCAGGACGAGACTGGTGATTGTGTGACAACGACCCCAGGAAGCGGAATGCCCGTGCCGAATGAGTATGTAGCCGGGGGTATCAGGAAGCTTAACGGCATGACCCCAAGCCCATTGAATGGCTACCAGCCAGTCCAGAAGCTGCACTCGGATGCCCACGCCCATTGCAAGGTTCCCGAACTTTGCCTCGACAGCAGCGGGGCTTACGTGCAAAACGAGCAGCTCCAGCTTCCGGGGCAGCAGTCGAAGAAACCAATCAATGGCTTCCACAAGCAGCCCCAACCGTCAGATGCTCATCCCCCTGTATCATCCCTTGTCCAGCCATTGATCAGCAGCGGGATAGTACCAAAAAACGGCTTTAAGCCAGTCACCCATACTCAGCTTTACAGCACAAAAAAGGATTTTCTACAGCCCAAAACCACGTTTGCACAGAAAAACGGCTTTAAGTCCTTTGCTCAAATGCGCAAACAGCAGCTTTCATCGCCTCGCTACAGGGGAGAGCGCCACATGATGATTAATCTTGAGCAGGAGATGGAGATCGGAAAACTGTGGGATCAGAAGTCACCGAACCCGGCTCCTGGTGAGTATTGACTCTTAGCCTTGCAGTTCACATTGTCCATGTCCTTACCTTACCTTACCGTTCAGGCACTGCAGTCTTCAACGATTCAGATGACTCTGCCGGGGACCAGGCCCTCTATCCAAATTGTCCCCCGGAGATGCAGAACCTGTTCCGCTGGAATATCTGCCGCCTGTGCCACACTACCATGCGGACGATGCGCAACGCCATGGAACACTACCGCTCAAAGGAGCACGATCGCCGGATGGGCTCATTCCGGATGCCCGACGGCCGCCCTCAAAGCAGCGTTTCGGATGACATGCTGCTGGATCTGCCCAGCACAAGGGCTATCGACTTGTACTGCGAGCTCTGCGACCTGAAGCTCACGTCGAATGTGCACGCCTACCAGCACTTCCACGGGCGCCGACACCTGCTGGTGGCCGCCAACCTCTCCAGGCCGAACGGCACGGGCTACTACAACGCGATTGGCCGCTGGGTGCGTACCGACTGCAAGTGGCTGCATTGCGAGCTGTGCGATGTGAGCATTACTTCCGAGTCCCAGATGGCCATGCACATGGCAGGGGCCCGACATCGCCGGCATGTTCTGGCCAGCTACATCAGCGGAAACATGGCTGTTCCCTTTGTCGGGCGCCACATGTACGGCGCTTCCACCGGCTCGATGCCCGCCCCCAAGCCACTGGGTCTCTCCACCTGCACGTCCAGCGGCCCGAAGGATAAAGATAATACTTGGGCCCCGAACGGCGGCTACTTCTGCGGCACTTGCGGCATAACGATGAACCACCAGAAGTCCGTGGCCCAACACGAGCAGGGGCGCTTGCACCAGAAGAACATTATCCGGCACTCCACGGGCCACTGATTGACTGAGTGGCCGGAAGATCGGGTGACCAGAAACACCGAGAAAGCCGCCAGCAGTACGGGCTAGTTATCATAGCGCAGATAATACCCTGTGACCCCTTGTAGGGTGTGTTAACGTACTGTGGGGTTTTTATCAATTTATTTCTAGTCCATTTAATTGTATCCGTATGTTTCCTACCAGAATATTAAATATAATCGTACTTGTATAGGAACCACATCAGTTATCCGTATTCTTTATATAAAATTGGGCAGGTGGCCCCGTATAGTCTGAACATGGTCTTCTTTCATGAATGGGCTATATGTAGATCGAACCGGCTTAACATTATAAAAAGGAATATTTCTGTAGATACCACAATAAGCATTTAATTGTTGCCAATTATACCGTTTGAGTATATTAAGTATAAAATATATAGTATATGTATGTGCGTTTATACTGACTGAGTATGAAATACACGAAATCTCCACCCAAAAGTATGCTATGCAATTTGGTAGCGATCTGTAGTTACCATTTCCATTTACATCGGCAAGTACGCAGTCAGCTATACAGCTTCTACTTTAGTTCTAATAAAGTAATGAATTTCGGAGCTTTTCTGCTTACTAGAAAACCCTCTTCCTGTGGAAGAGTACGTACGAGTATCAGTACATGCCAGACATGAATACCTACCTTTTACTGCTAAGATCGTAAGCAAAGCAAGTTCGCTTTTCTCCTATCATCTGTTATCGACTCAGAAGAGTGTTTTTTGTCAAGTATTAACAGTGGTCGAAACCCAGGAATTCCAACAGACGAACCTTACGTTATTTCTTCTTCACAGTTTTTGATAATCAAGGATGATAATGATGTATGGTTCTTGTATAATGCGGCATTCCCGTGTCTGTATTTGTTTCTATGATACTGCAAAAATGTTAAATAACCTTAAAAGAAGGAAAACTATCAACGCGTCAGGAGCTAATTAATGATATGACGCCCGCACCCTCACCCTGGAATAACTGGAATGGCTGAAATGTCTGGAATCTTTGCTTTTAATTGCCTGCCTGCTTATGCAGAGGCACGCTTCTTTGGCTGTGGCTGTTGGCTTTGGCTGGTTGCGGCTTTCTGGGAAAGTGCCAGACAGACATAGCATAAAATCTGCTCCGCTCCTGCTTTTGCCAGCGCCACTCCTCCTGCTCGTCTTGCTCCTCGTGCTGCTGCAGACAATGGGTGACCATAAAAAAGGAGTTATCGCTCTACAAATATCGGAGAGTGCCGCCTGGCCACAATGTCAGTCAGCGCCAGGGTCTAGACACAACATGGCGTTAAATAAATACATGACAGTGGCAAAAACAACACACATCGACGTCCGCAAAAACAGAAGACCGAATCCCGATAAATTTATGGCCAATTTTTTTGCGTTCGCATTTGATTGGGTTTGAAGTTCGCGCCGCTGCAAGGTCAATAGCAACGGGGGTGCTATACATGGGCGTGACCGGGTCCGGTCAAGGCCCGTCACATTCAGGATCACGGCTGCGCCGCTATCTATATCCGTATATGCCCATTCGGTGTCTGGCCAGCAGATGCGAGAAGCCTCAAACATGTTTTCGCATAAATTAAACTTCTTATCTGGCAGTAAAACATTTGACGCCATTCCTGTTGTCGGTTCTGCCGCATTTTCCTCGAATGCACGGAAGTGCATAAACAGCAGCAACAATGGACGACTGAGAGCAAATGGCACAAATATAAACAAATATGGGACGGAAATGGACATTTTATCGATGATATAGTTAATGATATTGCAGTTGTCGAAGTGTCGAATGGATCCCCACTCAGCGAAGTGCATGACCTGTCCCGATGGCAGTCGGACAGTGAATCAGAGGCAAGAGAATTTGGCGGCAAGTGGATAATAATTCACGTTAAAGTGAGTTTTCATTATTTTTATTGCGAAAGTGAGGAAAATTAAGCGGGAAAATATAAAACGGTGGCCATCTTTCATGCAGGAACCATGCAGTTAACTGAGAACTAGGAAAACTTATTCATATCCCATTGTGGAAGAGTTTGAGAATGTAGAAAGTAGTACAAAGATACCTAGTTTCAATCCGATTAGTACGTTTAAGATGATTTGATTGATTCACGATTAACACGATAATGAATGGCACTTCGCAATGATATTCAATAATATTATTATATTTTTTCAAACTGCTGTCCTTTAGATACATTTCTTATCTCGCTGCAACCGTCGCTTCACTTTTTATTCGGAGCCCTTTAAGTTCTGTGCCCGTGCCCGTGCCCCCAGCGATGTTGCACATGTTTACATTGCACATTACACGGCGACCCCAGAAAATTGCGTCGAGTTTGTGTACAACTGTGTAAACAAATTAATTATGCAACTTTGTGGCTGAACAAACTGATCTCCTGCCCCCGGCCGGTTCCTCTCGCTCAATAAAGTATCCTTTCAGCATATTTCAGCATAAACATTTGCCGTTTCCTGCTACTCGTCCTTTTCCCTGCCGAGGGGAACCACAGGCCCCAACCATTGGGGGCCTGCTGGAAAATGGTCGCTGGAGCCGTTCAGGCGTAAGAAAATTTATGCGTGGTAATGCCAAACCGAAACCAAAACACATTCTCCAGGGCAAGCTCTGGGCTCTGGCGGCTAATTTGCATTCGCACAGCCCCCAGAGCTACAGATGCAGAGATTCAGATGCAAAGATACAGATACAAGTAGGGGCTGCATCCGTGCAATTAACATAATTTCGGCCAAGCGCTCGCTCAGGTTAAATACTGTGGTAGTTTCAAATATTTTGACTTCCAGATCGTATAAAATACGAGGCATGAAGGTACTTTATTTCTTCACTAACTCGGAAACTCGGAAAATATGTGGAACTAGTTTCTAGCAATTTTGTTTCCAGATCCGATAAAAAACGAGTGAAAAGTAATTATTCGTATTTACGATCAGACTGTTTGTTGTGTTATGTGATATTTCAGTGGACGAAATAATGGTCGAATAAACATTTCTTTATTTCTCGGTGTCAGTGCTGGCTGTCGTTTGGCGTCTTTATAGCACTTATTACGCGGTCTTTCGTAGTTATGTGTCAAAAGTAGATTCGAATTTCATAAAGGGTGTGTTGGGGATCAACCCTAGAGGTTCAAAGCGTGTGAAGTGCCCGTTGTTTTTGCTGGGTTGTATAAGAGGCTTTTAATGTTTTTAATTGTTAATTGTTACGTGTCTGGCGTGCTTTCTGTGCCACACGAAACACGTTCGGCATCCACGGCGAGAGTCTACGCAGTGTGGGGCAGGTCTGACTCCCCCAGAACTCTGGACAAAGACAGTTTTTCAGATTCACTATCTCCCCCATAAAAAGCAGCTAAGCCACTGATGAAACCGACCCCATTACGTCTTCTTGCCTTTCCATTTCGCACATCACCGTCATCCAAAACTTTCTGCGCGTCATCGGCAGCGAATGGAAGCAAATTGAACAAGACGTTGATTAGAATTCACAGTTAGCGCCACAAACATTGACACTAACAGCCGAGTCCCCTGGGACCAGCCCGACAGCCGCGGTCACCAGCAACCAGCGCCGGGGAAGACACGGATAAGCAGTTTTTTGGGATGGGATATGTGTCAATTGAGCGCCTCAAAGCTGTGCCAGACAGACCCAAACCCAACGAAACCGGCTTTTGCATACAGTTGTATTATACGCGTTTCAAAACATTGCCAGAAATGTAAACAGGAACACGTCCACAGCCATGGCTAGAGGCACCAGCGGTGCCAGCGCGAAAAGCTGCTCCTGGTACCATGACACATTTACCAACATTTTCGTTGTTGTTGCTGTTGTTGCTGTTTTTGCTGGAGAATGACAAATCTGGAGAGGCATTTGAGTGGGTCTTGATCGGTGTTGGTGTTGCTTCTGTGTTGCTGGTGTTGTTTTGGTTGTTGTGACAAGTCCACCTGTTGTTGCTGTTTCTATTTGTTGCACAGGAGCGCAGCTAAACAACGACACTATGGCTCCATACCGTGGCTCGTTTCTGGCTGCATTTTTACCCACACACCAAAAACTCAACAAAAGTTGGCTCAAAAAACAAGACTTGGCCAAATGAAAGTACTACGAAGCAGAGATGCCCTAACCGCAGTCCAATCAATTTGGAATAGAGTAATTACGAGTATGATCCAAACCATCGAACGAACATGAATTTGGATTATATTTATGTCTTAAGTCCACGCACACACCTTCAACCATCCTATGTTTTTGGATCAGGCATAGATCAACGTATGCTTGTTGATACCTGATAGTACATACTATATGCAGTAAATATGATATATACCATCGGCTGATCCTTCAACTGATCTGCTGTTTTCGACAGTTTCGGATAAGTCAAAAAGAAAACGTAATTGTGATAATTTAATGACTAGACAACACTCTGTAGATCGATTACCAACGAAAAGGGTATCTATAATTTAAAGTTTGATTAAACTTAAGATCAAGTCTGTACACAAAGTTTGGCTAATCCCATATTTACAATCATACGCTGGAATTTGGACATTCCTTTTAAATTGTCCTTACTTCTCGGACTACATTGTAGTTTCTTATACAATGATACCATTTGTTATCTTTTCTGGACCATATTTTTTCAAATTTTGTAGTAGAGACTACACGCCCGACGAACGCAGAAAGCCGGTAGTGAGTCCTCCTAGAGGAACAGCTGTCCTGGGACAGGATGCAGAGCTGCGCCGAGTGCTGGCGGAGCTCCTACGAATAGGTCAGATTATTCCTGGTGCTAAAAGACTGGCTCTGGCCACCGTCACATGATGTTCGTACAGCCTTTTCCACTTGTAGAGTACACTTAAAACGTCTTACGATGTCGCCATTAGCAGAGTTTTCTTAGTTTGAAAAGCTGTGTGCGGCTGAATCATGCGGAGAAAGAGAGGTAGCAGCTTGGCTGGGAGCTTACGTAATGCCAGGCGAATCGATGGAGGGAAGAGACGCTGATACAGCGTCTGCGCCTGAATTTGGAACTGCCAAATGGCTAGGTGCAATCAACCTGCATGGAATTGGAATTGGAATGCCATGCGATTGGAATTTGTTACCAAATATTGATGACAGTAACGGCAGCCAAATCAAAAATCCTGCTCGCTGCTCGCGGAGTCTCTCAGAGTACCAGGGGCTGCTTATCAGCGCCGAAAAGCGAAAGAAGCCGCTCCCACCTGCCACACGTTACGCAGTCCGCCCCCAGTCAGGCGCTGTTCAACGCCCCTGCCATTGGCGCTGTCGCCACTGATTATAGTGGTTTGGTTCCAGTCGGCTGCCCGATGCTCCTGGCGTGGGCGAGGCCGTGGGCATGTGACAGGCGTCGCAATTAGATGGCGTCTTAAAATGGCCATAAAGCGCAACCAGCTGCAGAATATCCTGGGGACGGGTCTCGGGGCAGCGGTCCCCCCACAAATGCATAATGGAGATACCAATTTGGTGAAGAAAGAAGCATGTGGTCAAATTGGACAAATTACACGTTTGGCTAAGAGCGGGTGACGCAAATGGGATCTACTTTCAGGCAAGCGAAGCATGTGGAGGTGCCACCACAATAGACAGGCAGATGGACATATTGACAGACGGATCGATGTGACATTAATCGATGCATGAATACAGATTATCATACATCCACATAGTACTTTCGACTTCATTGTGGAACCTTACGGAAGTGAGAACTAGACGATTTCATGCGGTAGACAACGAATCTTTCCTTCTCTGTACTGCATTTCATAATAGCCAACACGTTTATCAGTTTATTAAGAATCTCTCAGTCTAAATTGTCTATTAAAAATGGTTCTTTAACCCGGGGTCATCCGTTGAGTGCCGTTAAAATGTCACCAAAACAATAAAGTGCCTCCCGTGCAGTTCCACGTAGCTCAGAGCAACGCGAAATGTGGAAATTACTATCTGCTGGAACACATATTTATGTACATAAAATATACTGCTAATTAAGGATGATGTGGAAGTGCGGTGAACCACCCACCCGAAAAGGGGTCAACCAGAGAGCAAACACAGACAGCGACAAACACTTCGGGCAAGGTCGCAGAGAAGAGGACGGCAGGGACGACAGAGAAATGACCGCCAAACTGGGCCCTTAGCAAAATACTTGGCTTATTGCACATACCCAGGGTATATGTACCCATATGCCACATTCCAGCCCTCTCCACTCCACTCCACTAGCTCTTACCACATGCAATGTTCAGTGTGTCACGCTCACGTTCGGCTGCAATGACAGGTGCAACAACTGAAATTACATTGCGCCTTGAGACCTTCAGATTAGCTGCATTAACCCCTTACGACACAACGTACAAATTTTCAGCTAAGAGATATTACATGCGATCAACTTTAACAACTGTTGCTCATATTTCGAATTATTTCCATGGATTCAGACAACTCGATTGTCGTCTTGGCGGTTTCGTTCAACAACAGATAAGTAAGCTACAACTCAGAAAATGTCGTCCAATTTATGCACCAATCTCTACCCTACTTTATACTACTTCAAATGTTTTAATAATTATATTTAACTAGTTCGAGTCTTTAAAGGGTTAAGCTGTTGGCTTGTGCCTTGTTGTTGCAGCAATTGTTGGAGATGTAATTGGGCAATTTTCGCTGCCAAAAACTGCAACACATACTAGTGCCCGTAAGAAGTGGTAGGAATCTGTACGAAGCCAGAAAGCGATGCAGATAATTGCATTCGTCAAAAGCAGAGTAAAATAAAGAAAACCCAAAGCAGCAGCAATTCACAGATGCCGGACGTCGGGTAAAGAAGTGGATGGCCATGCCCCTGCCCCTGCCCCTGCCCCAGCCCCAGCCACATGTGATTGCATGTGGCACGTGTTCATGACATTCTTCCAAGTGCAAGTCGAATTCAGTTGCAATTCTGTTGCTCTTAATGGAATTCCAATGCATTTGCTCGCCTTGAGATGTGGCCAAGACATTTTGGCCTTGCCCAGTGACAGATTTTATGAGTATTGTCATCAGCGGGGGACATAAAGCATCGATCGTAAATCGATTACCAATTCAGTAAAGCTCAGCAGCAACTCAGGCCCAAACCGATCTTTGCTTCATTGGGTCTCCTATAGGATGTTTTCCGACATATGGGACTATTTTTTCCAGCTTCACCTTCGAGTTCATGTAATTGCCAAAGTATATCGTAGGAAGCTGTGGAATTATACCAGCAGTCTGTTGTCTGGCAGTCCACATTTTATCGCTTGGGTTTGCTTTCAAGGGTATTCGACATTTCGCGTTCGCTTCTTCGAGGCTTCTGCCCAATATTGTATCTTGTCTCTTGAACTTTGCTCACTGTCCCGATGGGGCAAGAATGCATGTAAAAATGGTGATTGAATTTATGATTAATGTGGGTACGGTTGTCATTGAGGGCTGTGCCTGTTCCCAGCAAATTGGCCGGGCCAAGGCTAACCACTGAGGCAAGAAATAAAAGACAGGCGGGAAGAGCCCATTGTGAGAGCTGCTGGGAACTCAGTGATTGAGACTAAGCGACACAATACCCACAATCGGAATATGCTGATGGCAGGCCTCCAGTGCGCTGGCAATCAGAGATAATCGCAGTAATAGACGGAAGGGTGATCCCAAGCTCGGGGGAGTGCGGGCTTGTGAAAATTGGGATATGGGACGTGGGACATGGGATATGGGAGGAGAGTGCAACTCCCAAAACTTCAGCGAGGCGTGGCGCAAAGAAAAATTATGCATAATTTGGCTTGCAGTTTCGTTTGAGCCAATTGCAGACGTAACCGGCTGCCGGGCCAAACATTTCAACAGCCACCATGCGGCGCCAAGCGGCGCCAGGGACAGGGGACCCTGCGTCAGAGGCAGCGGGCTCCCAGATACGAACCCCCACAGCCGAACCGAACCGAGCCAAACCGAAACGATCTAGCCCCTAACGGTTAAGCGAATCGAACCTACAGACATGTCCAATCCAACCCGGCTCGCTTCAGATCGAAACGAAACGAAACGACACGAAAGACTTAAGCAAGAAACTAGTTGGGCACGCGCCAGCAACTGTGTGCAGAGTAGTGGGAGGGGAGCTGGGAAATCGGCACTACGGAGATAGGTGGGAAAATGGACTGCTCAAGAAAGAGCTTCGATCAAAAGTATTCCATTTCTGAAAGTGGAATATGCCCAATGGTGTATTGCTCCAGCCCTTTGTCTGCATATGTCTCTGGCCATAGCCCTCGCCCAGTCAGTCCCACGATCCACACTATTTCTATCGGGCTTACTACTTTTCTACCCTCCTTCCAAGTGCTATAAACTTACAAGACGAGTACTACGAGTATATGCATATCAATATATCAACAAGTAATACAAATATTTACCTTCCACAAGTAAATGCAATCCACAGTCGGTGGTGCGGCTCAAACAAGTTCGCCGGCATGCAAGGTGGGCTAAAATGAGGTAAGGCCGAACTTCAGTTGATTCCAGCTACGTGAGAGCCGACGGAGCAACAGCTGCAGCGTCGGGTATTTTAAAAAATTGAAAAGGCGATGTGGGCAACGGGAGAGAGACCTGGCACGGCAAAAGCAAGCAAATGATCGTCGTGAACGCACCTATAGCGCTCGCCGTAAGATTTTGTTGAGTCTGGTCCCTGCATTCAACGCGTATCGCGTACCGCCTATCGTCGTATCGTCGTATCGTATCGTGTTTTATTTTGCTCCTCATGCCCCAGGCGAAGACGGATGAATAGCTTCAGCTGGCGGCTCTTTATATTTCGTGGTGTGTCAAAGAAACCAAAACAGTTATCAGTTATTCAGAGCGAAATTAGAAATTAGTTGAAACAAGTGCAAGCAACTCCCATTTGGTGGGCAGGCTCCGTTCAACTGATAAACAATACTCCATAAGACGTTCAATAGTGAGACCCACCCGGCTCCGGAATACACAATAATCAGCAGTGAATACTGTGCTTTAGTGCGAAATTGCCCGGGATTGGATCAGCCAAAAGGATAACCAGACTAAGACCCCAGTGGCCAGACACAAACACGTAACTGCCACCAAGTCGATCTGTGTCGAAAGCGGGAGAGAGCCAGCGATAGTCGCGACGTAACCGTTACGCTTAGGTGCAAGCCCCGGTGCAGCATTAGCTAATTTGCCCCATTTCGTGTCTGAGTATCTGAGTGTCTGAGCGCGAGTGTGCGTTGCCTGTTGACTGTGACTGTGACTGTGAGAGTGAGTGCTTTTTGCATCTTCGATCTGCGAGTGCCACTGGAACCCCTCCGCCTCTGCGATGCGGGCAAGCGACTTTGCTTGCGGCCGCCTGCTGGTGGCCCTGCTCTTGCACTGCCTAGTGGCTCTGCAGGTCTGCGGTAGGGCCGGTGCCTTCACCCTCCTCTCGCCCTTCAGCTACAGCTCGCTGAGCTTCAAGAACCTCCTCAACTCGGTGCTGCTCTCGAGCAACGCGAACCTGGCCGGCGGGGGCAGGAACCTCAAGTCCGACGTGCTCGAGGACGCATCCCTCATAACGGTAAGTAAGCGGGAACAATCCGTATCCATATCCCACAGTCCATAATTTTCGTAGGCCTCTCCGGCCGACTTCCATCACGCACCTCCTCTCCACCCTTGACATTTGTTTTTGGTCTGGTTTTCTTTGCTATTGTTTTCGTCTTTCGTTGTTTTTTTTCTTCGGCATTTCATCGTTCGTTGCTTTTACTTGCTTTTATTTATTTTGGCTGGACAATTTTTCTATGTCAAATAAATTTACACTGCCCCCCGTCGAAAGAAAGTTTCCGTTCTCGGGGTTCGTTGACTTTCCACACTCACACGCACGTGAAGCGCGGAGGGGTCCGACAAAGGGCCACGGCCACGGTCCCCCTATATTGCTGGGCTCACATGATCCGTTGCAGTTCCAGTGCAGCAAAGGGAGAGGTAATCCCGTGAACTGTGGTGACCGACCTGTTTCGGCAGGAATTGAAAGCAATTAGGATGTTATTTACAGGCGGAAATAGGCCATTAAGTTCTTTTGTATTTACATACGTACATAGATGGTGATATTAGGGCTGGGATAATCGATTTTGTGATTGAATTTTCGCTCACGTATGGGAATATGTAGTTACAAAACTGAAATAAAACCTCCAAGTCCATCGAGTGCTAGTGAGCTAGATTCAATGAGCAACTGGTGGCCGCACTGACCTTGAGCTCATTCACGTGCTCCACAATTAGATCACATTTTCATTCAGTCTTCGTTCACATGGAAGCCTGGGGGCCGGCTAGCAGCGATCTTCTTGGGAGCTCCCCAGCTCCTCGACATTTCCCAAGGTTAAACGATTTGCATTCGAAGAAAACTGGAGTCCGATGAGCACAGAAATCACTTGAGAAACTCTCACAGCTGCAAGTGCCGGGCGATTTTGCCAGCCAAATATCAGAGGGCAAACAACGCCGAAGATTACCCAATAGCTGGTCTTTAGGCGTCTTTAGGGTGGGGTCAACAAACAGATAGGCGAAAATGAATAGAGCCAATAAACCAAAGCCGCGGGAACCGTACTCGTCCGAGTATTATTAGCAAGTGTATTCACTCCGTACGGGTGTGTGCAGAGAAATGATAACGTAACGATTTTATGGGATCTACGTGATTGGTGATTTGTGATTTGTGGTTCGTTGTTGTTATGCAGACCCAAAACTATTGTCACCGAACTGTCAGTACACCCGTACCTCGGATACGGCCAAATGGATCTTATGCAAAGTCATTGCTGGGCTTACAAACGCGTCCACGGGCGCGTGTCTGAACTGTAATGTCGTCGGAGTTCGAATAAAGCACGGGGGCTTTTGCCGAGGGGCAATTTCTGCACGTTGCCAATTGCATAATCGCTGGGCGAGGGCGAGGGCGAGGGAGATGGCCAGGTTCACATTGTGTATGGCGGGAGACACCTTTCATGGCCCGCAGTAACAAATTGAAATTGTCAACGCTACACAATCATCAGCCTGCAATTAGGCTAACCTGTCCACGTCCAGGTCCACGTCCACGTTCACGTCCACCTCCACGTCCAAGCCTTTGCCGCCTGACTGACTTTGAAATATGGGTTAGCAGTCTCCGCCGCTGGCTTCCCCCAGATGTCACCGAAGAAAGACTCTGGGCTGGCCATAATCAGGAAATGGTTTGTCATTTGGCTCGGCATGGATCTGGCTTTTCCTCCTTTGTTTTGGCAAAGGAAAACATTTTCGTTTTGCCTTAATTTGAATATAAAGGTTTCCGCGTTGTTTTTCTGTCTCGGCCCGACATGCCAAGGGCCTGCCATTCGATGTCGTTTAGGCTGATTTCAAAGCGACGGTATTGATGGGTAACTCCCTTCAAAAAAGTATACAGAAGGGACTTAAACCCTTCTTTAGTGAGCATTTATATCCATCAGCAAAGTTTCGGGTACAAACAAAAGCCAAACAAATGAGACAGTGGGCTAATGACTTGGTGATCTATTCGACAATGCAGATAAACAGCGAAGTTCAAACTATCATTTGCAAATCGAAATCAATCAGTTCTTCTTTTGTTGCATAATGCTTTGTTTGTTGTTGCTAGAATGTGACGATTCCACAGATTTGCATATGCCATAAGGCAGGGCTCCAACTGATCGGCATCTTGAAGGAAAAGTTCAAATGTGATTAACCTCCTATATTTCGATGTCATTAAAATGATGTCAGGCGGCAAAACGAAGTCAACGAGCGGCCAACGCCAATCAGAAATACATCTTTGAGACAAGAGAGTCGGAGGTACATAAAAGATCCAGCAAAAGACTTGACACCAAATTGGAGGGGAAAACTGGTTGGCCATCGAGACGCTTCGAACCCACTCTTATAATGACAGTGTTAAAAGACAACCAGAGAGAAGTCAATATCAAGGTCAGTTACAAAATGAGCGATGTGCACAAGACAATCCAAGACAATACCTCCGAAATCCATCCACCTATCCATCCAACGAAAGCAAAAGTGGTTTCTGGCGCTGACAAGCGCCGTCAAGTTCGACGAGCAATAGTGTTTTATGCAAATGAATCAAAGGCACGCCGTAAAGCCACTAAAAAAGCCAGAAAAGCAGACGTTGACACTTAAAATTTGCATCGATATTTTAAACGAAAGATACACAGCGGAAAAAAAACCCTCGAGCAAATCCACGCCCAAAGGCCCATGCAACACGACACATACAGTACATGTCGGCTAAGTGCAACCTTGTGTAAGTACAGCAGTCGACTGCAAATTGAGGTCTCGGACTGATTATTTGGGAAAGATGAGCTCCGAAGAGCATTTCAATAGAAATGACAGAAGATTCATCAACACATTTAGCACCTATGAACATCCTACCTTTCAAATATAAATATGTTCAAGACTCTATGCGTACTTCTTTGTCAGAATTGATAAAACGCCTTCGGTACGACGAAGGTTATAGATCCACGTAAGACGCCCAATAAATTGGAAGCTTGACACAAATTGGATGTAAAAAACTGACACCCGGTGTTCCCAGAACTGATCTTGTGGCATATAGGCAATGCTCACTGTGGATACACACACAAGCTCCATTGCCAATTAGCGTGGACACAAACCATCGGCAGCCAAACACAAAATTAGTAGGTCATGATGAGCATTATGGTAATCGGGATCCGAGTCGGTGCTGTGCCGCACGGCGTAGGTGCTAATGAAGTTTCTGTGGCTGTGAGCCAAACGAAAAAGTTCAGTTAGTGAAACAGTAAGCACACACCGTACGAAAAACATACTCGTATTGCGGTCAGACGGCAAAATGAGAAGCGAGACCGAAAATCAACTGACAGCCGCAATTCATTTTTATTTTCACATTGGTCCAAGTCGCAGACCGCAGGGTCCGACGTACGAGTATGCCTATCTCTCTATTTCTCTGGGGTTTGGTATTTGGTATTTAATTATGGTTTTCCAACCTTTACGAGCGCGTTTTTGCCTTGCAATTTGCTTGATTTATTTACGAGTACTGTGTGTTGTGTTGTGCTGTGTTTGCCTTATGTTTAAATTGGCGTTAAAACAAACATTTTCATATTTGAGCAATGGCGGTGGGTATTTGTTCGTCTTCTCTTTGTTTTTTTTTATCAGTGTGTTGTACAAACTATTTAAATACGATATTTCTGAGTGGACTTAAGTTTTTTATCGACTCGTTGATCATCAAACATTCGAATAATCGAATTCCTAGAGCAAATATGTACCCCAGCCCTATATCGAGTGCTCGGCTGCTGCGCTGCCGCTCACGTACACTCGTACAACAGTGGCCGGCACCCATACCAACGCCTGTTTTTGTTCACAAAAGCACTGAAAAGCCTGCGAGTGTGTGCGTTCCGACCACCGTTGAGCCTTGGCTAAATTGGACCATTTCTAGGCCGCAATCAATTTGATTTCTGCTAATTGCAGTGCTTAAAATATAAAGAAAACTATAAAGGCAATTCCCTGAGAAGTGATAAAGGCATTGCTTAACGTTCCATTACCGCAGAGGTTTCCAAACTTTTCGCGGTTTCCCAACACTGACAGCCCGGTGAGACCCCTGGTGGTGGCATTTTGCTGCACTTTGCGCATCTGTGCAACGCTTCCCCGGCTCTTGGGCTCTCCAATATTTGCCAGCTGCTGCGCAAAGTGTGTCAAGCCAAGAAAAACAAAACCTCACCGGGCCACAGCGATAGCAGCGACAGCCCCAACAGCTGTTGCAATTTTTTGGGGCTTGTCCAAGCCGCTTTCTGCGGCCGCTTCTTCGCACCTCGTTCGCGCGCTCATTCTTTTTCAGCTCCTATTCGAACAAAGAAGTTATATAATACCAGAGCCAAGGAAACTGCCGAAAAAGAAACAAAAGAAGCCTAATTTATGCCTAAACATTTGCCAAAATCCACTCGAACCAAAACAAAACCGAAAGAGTAGGAAAAGTATTTCACTGGCTTACTTTGGGTACCACTTCCTCGTGTTGTCCAACCAGCCGGCAAGTCAGTTGGCCAATTGCATTGCTTATACGAGTATTATTTTGTTGTTGCTGCTGCCGCTGTTGCTGCTGGTCATTCGCTGCCAAGGTTAATTAAAATTCCAGGCAGCTCCCAGAGAGTCTCTTTCCAGTATTTCGGTTTTCATTCAATTGTTTTTGTTTCTTTGTACATTTGTGTAATCGCGTGTTTACGGCTTAATTTTAACAATTGTGTTATAAGTTTTTCTCTCGGCCACCTACTACCCGCGCCACTTACATAAGCAACCTCCCAAAGAGCCGAACTTATCAAAAATATCACGGCTTTCTCGAACATCTATAAATCTACGCGAGCAGGAAGAAAAATATGCTGTCATACAGTGCGTATGCGTGATACGTGACTAGGTTGAGCTATGGAGCGGTACTTATAGAGTGACCCGAGGAGACGGACAGCCCCTAGCTGGTGTGACTTTGCTTCGCATCAGATCCCCCCAAGATCGCCATCAATAAAGAAATTCTATATGGCTCGGGCAGCTCGGTCATAGCTGACAATTAAAATAGTTGAGGCCATACATATCCAAACCATTTTGCCAGGGTGCTGGAACCCCTGAAACCAAAAGACTAAGATATTTCAATCAACTCTGCACTGCGGAACTTCCCAGCGGTTCAGCCACGGCCCGTCTGCACCTTGCCAGCCTCTCAGTCGCACCCCTGGCTGGGACTTTATTAACTTGTTGATGCCGCAAATTAAAATTCATTAGCTGAAAATGACTGTGGTTAGGGCCAGACGGATACCACGCCGATGCTGGTGCTCGGGGCTCGGGACTCGAACAGGTGACTGCTTCCCACCAAGCTATGCAAATGGGAGCTGCAGACAGGAGAAGGAGAAAGAGGGACAGCCAGCGGAAAGGGCAGGTGCAAAAACCTGGACTGGGGCAACTCAATTTCACACTGCCATGATTTGCACTTCTAACACCTTTCCATCTCGTTTTTTCTCTCCGGTCAGCCCAAATTAATACGCAAATATGGCTATCCATCGGAGACACACACCGTGGTAACGAAGGACGGCTATATCCTGGAAATGCACCGCATCCCAAAGAAAGGCGCCCAGCCAGTGCTGCTGATGCACGGCATACTGGACACTTCGGCTACGTGGGTACTGATGGGTCCCAAGTCGGGATTGGGTGAGTGAACTAAGATCCTAAGATGCTCATTATATATCCCATTTGGAATAACTAATTGTTCCTCCCATCCAGGTTACATGCTCTCCGACTTGGGCTACGACGTCTGGATGGGCAACTCACGAGGCAACCGGTACTCGAAGAACCACACTAGCCTTAACAGCGACTACCAGGAGTTCTGGGACTTCACCTTCCACGAGATGGGAAAGTACGATCTGCCGGCGAACATCGACTACATCCTCAGCAAGACGGGCTACGAGCAGCTGCACTACGTCGGCCACTCCCAGGGCACGGCCATCTTCTGGGTGCTCTGCTCGGAGCAGCCCTCGTACACGCAGAAAATCACCTCGATGCACGCCCTGGCCCCCATCGCCTACATCCACGACATGAAGAGTCCCCTCTTCCGGACCCTGGTTCTGTTTCTGGACTTTCTAACAGTAAGTGCGCATCGCTCGCCGGTTCGTTCGCAATTTCCATTTCTCCGCTCTTACTCTTCTGTTTTCGGCCAGGCCGCCACACGAATGCTGCGCATCACGGAGTTCATGCCCAACACAAAATTCCTGGTGGACCACAGCCAGGTTGTTTGCCACGACAATGCCATGACGCAGGACGTCTGCTCCAATATCCTATTTCTGGTGGCCGGCTACAACTCGGAGCAGCTGAACAAAGTGAGTGCCTGGGTCGGCGACGGAGGGAGCCGGGAATCATCAGGTTTCCTGCTGTATGTCCGCAACATTTTCACGGGACTCCCCACGCGGCGATGAGAGGCATCGATTTGGTCCCGGATTGGACGACCGCTGGCAATCCGGGGATTGTCTTCATTAAGTTGGCACTTAATTAACTCGCCCCAGTTCGATTGTCGGTCGGTTTTGATAGTTTGAGTGGGCTTCGGTGTGGGGCGCGGCTCATGGCTCATGAGCATTGTTAGTGGAGGATCTGGGTGAGTGTTCAGAAGACATCGCATTCAAGGGTGAAGAGCAAATACAAGCTTAGTAACAGACTACATAGTCATTTACTTGTTCACTAATAATCCAATTCACAGCCATTACCTTACATTTCCATGTCTTGTGGCACTATTTGTAGATCTTGCTCCATCTAATTTGCACAGTAACACGATTTCCTTTATTGTGTTTCCATTTGATTTAAAACAAACGCAAAATAGACAAAAACAACAACTGCTGAATGCATTTACGCTTAGGTCGCACCTAGTACATGCCACTATCTTAATCCCCCGTGCGGCCACGATGTTTGCATTAAATATACCTCAGTCCCCGCCAATACTTGGCCGTTAATCGACCGCAAGTTAAACGCCCGCAGATTTGAAATTATGCGCCACAGAGGGCAGGGTGTGTGGGGCTGAAATTGAACATCATTCGAGCATTATGTGGGGGTGAATATAGGCGGGTTTCCCTGACCTGGAATATGCCATTGAAGGGGTGTCATTATCTATTATGTCAGTGCCCGCCCCCGCCCCAACCCCGCCAGAGGGGGCGTTGTTGTTTTCGCTGGCGTTGCTGGCAATTGGCATAATTAACCGGCACTCTGGAAGCTGGAGACCCGACAACAAGCGACAATGCATGCAAATTAGGCGCGATTCTCTGGCCCAACATGAACCGAGAACACATCCCATCGCAACCGCCTGTACTGCCATGGCTAACATGGTCTAGGCCGTGTAGCATTGTGTTGGGGACAGGTGTGTGGGGTCGATTCTGAATGTTGAATGGGGTTGGACACTGTTTTGTGGAATTTGAAACTGCATCGCCCCCTTCTTTCTCCATCTACTCCCGCAGACCATGCTACCCGTGATGCTGAGCCACACGCCCTCTGGCGCCTCCATCAAGCAGCTGGAGCACTTTGGCCAGCTGATGAAGTCCGGGCACTTCCGCAAGTTCGACCGGGGCTACCTGCGGAACCAGTTGGAGTACAACCGGATCACGCCGCCGGACTACGACCTGTCGAGGGTGAAGGTTCCAGTGGCCCTGTACTACTCGGTGAACGACCTGCTGGTGTCCACCACAGGGGTGGACCGCCTGGCCAGGGAGCTGCCCAACGTGATCGACAAGTACCTGGTGCCCATGGAGCGCTTCAACCACCTGGACTTCTTGTGGGCCATCGACGTGAAGCCCCTGGTCTACAATCGGCTAGTGAGGAACATCCGGCGGGTCGAGAACCACAAGGCAAAGCTGACGGCCAATCTGGCCAGCTTCTTGGCCATGCAGCTGCAGCGGCAGCAGCTGCAGAACCAAATCCAATTGCAGATGTCGCAGCTTCCACCCAACGTCCACCTCCCCCACGGCCTCGGCATGGAACTGATCGCGAGCGTAGCGGCCACCGCACCGACGACAGCAGCCCCAGCCACAGCCACCACCACAACTGCTCTGGACACGACCACATCCGTGGGGGACGAGCTGCAGGTCGGATCTACCAGCACCACATCGGAACTATACGCGTGACTCTGACGGCCAGCAACGCTCTCACTCGCTCCAATTTCATATGACTGTGATGACATTTTAACAATTTACGCTGCAATCAATCGCACCTTCTCGGTCCCCGGCCGCAGGGACCCCGATCCATCCACTCAGGCACGCCCAGTCTAGGCGCTACTCCATTCCACCCCACTCCAATCATCCAATAAACGAAACCCGAATCACTACACCCCTCCGCCAGGCACCGACTCGAATGCTGAAAATGTTTATCCACAATTTGCGGCCAGGTTCATTTTCATCGCAATTGTGCGACCCATTTTCTTTGCGACCCTTAATTCTTTAATTTATGTGTACAAATTTATGAGTAATCCGAAACGTATGTTTATGTTAAATAATAAAAAATATTTTAAGAGAATCTGAGAGTTTTATTGTGTAAATACTCGGGGAACTGTACCGCTGGCTGAACAATGGGAATTAAAATTACTCCATTGATCCTCCCGTAGATCTGTAGATCTAATTATTGCTTGGTTTTTGGGTTTTTTGTCGGATTATTTGAACTCTTCGGAACTATTTTTAGTAATTAATATGAATATTACGAGTTTAGTTCTGTTATACGAATCCCGTAAGTGATTAGTTATACCGCATCCATGCCTGCGATTCTGAAAACAGTCAGTTGAGGGTTGAATCGAAAAAGTGGGCTGATGCCAGGGTTTATTTCATATTTCCTACACACAGTATACTTAAGCTTCTAGAATATTTTAAAACAAAAGATCTCTCTTAAAATGCATATCGGGAGTCGCAAACAGAGTGGTTGACACTTTTGAGCTGAGCAACAAAAACGTGAAGCACACTTTTCAGCTGCCAAATAAAAATGTCAAAATGTAATTTACATAGTTGTGTACAGTATTCCAAATGTAGATCTTAAGGCTCCGATAAGAGTTTCCCGAGAGTTTGAGAAGTTTTAAAGGAACATTCCCGACACACATTATTGATCAACACGAAAGTTCTCCCAGTCCAAAGATATCCCATCGATATGCGTCTTTCTTCAATAAACTTTGCCGCACCGAAGTACTGCTTCTCCGTATTCTGTAGCCATTCATTATCAGTATTCATTAGCTGTTCTCCAGGCAGATAGTATATTTTCGTAAGGCAGACCTGGATGAAACCACAATGAATTCATTGGACTCTCGTGGTCTCGGCAGGTGGAGGCGGAGTGGAGCGGGTCTGGAAGAAGAGTCGAAGCAAACAGCGCTGACGCTTAATTGCAACTTAAAACGCAACTCCTTTCGACGGGAAACGCGGAAAACTTTATCCGCAGCAGGAGGTGAGCACGGACCGAGCCGGAGCAGGATCCGGAACTCTCCCTGGTCCCCTCTCCACCCCCGCACAGAACCGCAGTTGTGCACTTTCAGCGACAAGTTAAAGCCGCGCGCCCAATGAATTGCCTTCATTTGTCGTTGCCTGGCGTCTTGCGACTGGTGACAGGAGAACCGGAGGAGGGAGGGGAGGGAATCGTAGTCTCCATCTCTGAGGAGGACCAACAGTAAGCCAAATTGCAGGTCGTACTGTTGCTGAGTAAACAACAAAACACAAACAGGAAGCAATGTCTGTTTGGGAGGCGGGAATGACAGCGGCCAATGCCTGCAGCCAAGTTTCGACTTTCAGGTGATATTACCTCAGGGTGGACTCTGGTCCGACAACTGCTCCTGTGGACTAAAATTGTTTCCGCTCTTCAATCGAAATTGAGCCCTGAGTTGCCTTTTTTATCCCCCGACTGAACCGTAGAGAAGCCATGGGAGAATCATGAACTCTCGCAGAGATATTCCGACAATCTTTAAAGGGCCTTCCACCAGCATCTTCTATATGGCAGGTTGTCCTTGCTCGCTTATCCTTGTCGCCGATCCCACAAGCATCCACACGATGCAGCCGCAGTTGCAGGCGCACAACTGACACAAATTCAACTTTAATGAAAGTTCCACCGCTTAGAGCCTGGCAATTGGGGAGCAGTTGCATGCCACCAAGCCAGGAAGCCCACATGTTTGCACTTTGCTTTTAACTAACTTTGACTTAGTCCTCCTAACTACACACATACCTCTCTTTCGCTCTCTCCACTTCTCTCTCTTTTGTACACCATCTGTTAGCTGTCATTACACCCAGTAATCTGAGGGAGAAGGAGATTATTATATTTGTATGGGTTTAATAGCTAAAACCAACACCTAGTTTTCCAAGAGCAATCTGTGGTATCCACACTTGTAGCTCTAGATTTAAACAATTAGTAGGTATTAGCTGTGGACAAATCAATGAAACAATACCCAACAAGGGTCTCTCGTGAATATTGTAGCTATAATTAAATTACTAAACAAAGTATCCAAGTATCAATGTGTCTTGCATTCTATATCTCTTCTTTTGGATCACAGCATATAGGTAATAGGTATCTAAAAGTCGAGTACCTTGACAAAAGACTTCTTACATTATTTTTGTTGCTGTTCATTTGCCTTGCAAGGAGGAACAAGTGACTTCGAATTGTCAGTGTATCGCCCACCAGTGCAATCCTCCCTCTCTCCCTCCCTCTCTCTCTCTCTCTCTATGTATCTCTTCCTCTCTATTCCTTGTGTAAACAAGACATTTAGTACAACAAAATAATTAAAGTCAATTAGTGGCTCCTGCCTCAGCATCTACTATTAGGTCCCACTCTCTGTCCCCTCCTGCTGCTCTTGGCTCTTTGGCAGTTGCTGCTGTTGTTCTTGTTGTTGTTGTTGGCGTGTGCTCTAGTTGCTGTTGATTTAGTTTTGGCTTATAATGATATTGTGCGGCTCCTTCAGAGGCTGTCATTAGCGTCACACAAACACACACACATCATAATTTATTAAATCAACTTATTCTTGTTGTTGCGAATAGAAACTTTTGCTCAGCGGGCTACCGCCAACTTTCCTTTAAGGGGAGCCTCTTTTAATGGAATTCAAATGGGATATACAGATTAAAAATGAGTTGCAGCTCCAAAGCTTGAGCTGTATAGTCCGCCCCATGTGAGGGAAATCTACCCACCTAGGAGAATCAAATGAAAAAAGCCGATTCAACGGCTTTAAGCCAGCTTAAATAAATATACAGCAGGCATTACAATGGCCGACAGTAGAGTGAAGCCTTTTAAGCAAGGATTAATAAGCATACATATATATACTGTATACTGACTGTACAATCCTCTATAGTTGTGCGCTATGGTTCGATAATTGAATCCCCAGCAAAGGCCAAAGACAATGCAATATTTTTCCGCAATTTCCCATTTATAAAGTAATTATTTTTTAATACAATTACAATGCTCGTCTCGTTTCATCCACTTCGAGTTGCCGACTTCTATTGTTTCATTTTCGCACAATGGCAGCATCAGCTCTTGGCCGCATCTGAAATTATAAAATAAACAGAGTTGCAGAGTTTCAAGTTCCTTGGTTTGTGAGATCTGAAGAGCCATTGAAAGTCATTCGAGGACTACTGGAGCCGCCATCGGGCAAGTTAACAAGTTCTTGAGAGCCCGTGGACTACGAAGTTAAACAATTTTTAATTTCAGAAAGCATGCACGTAGGAGTTGCATAAATTCGTGGCTCTTAGGGGAAAGAACTGATTCCCCCATCACCTCGTTGATTGATTTTCGTTTCCATTTCCATTCAAAGTAATTTAGAAATAAACATTAGCATCAAGAGCCAATGGAGCGCGCCTAATCGTTAGGCAATAAAGTGCCACGCCCCCAGGACAAATTGCCACTGGCGCCACTTCAAAGTCCGAGGCAGCTGGATACTGGAAATTACATACATCTGCTGGAAACAGAATTTGCATTCGAAATGTTTCCCTAATGGTTTCCAAGGCATTAGGGCTCGAGCCCACAGCTTCCCCCTGTTCTGATCAGGAAGGAGGCTCATTTCACTCTGCATTTAAATTATATTTCTCGTTGGTAAATTGAAAATGCTGCCAGCATTGATTTCACTTTAACAATAATAATTTCATGATATTTCCGTGCTCCCTCCCAGTGACTGGGGCGCTGGGGCTACTCAACTCTGGACTCATCACATCCTTCATCCGCTGAGATGATCTGCATAAATATTCCAACAGAGTGCTGAATGTTTCCTGGCCGGAACAGAGACAGTCAGTCTCCTCCATCATCAGTTGGGCAAACTAATTTGCTTGCCAAAATTTCTCTCTGGCTCTCGAGAACATTTTACGAGTCGTATTTATGTTGGCCGCCTGCCCTTTGTGTCCTTTGCCCTTTGTATCCGGCCCTGACGGCAGAAGCTCAGTCCGAGTGGGTGCCGTCGCCACTTCCCCTCCATGCCCGTGAGCCTTTCCGTCCTCGAGACTTTCTCTTGTCTTAATGATGTTATTGAAGTTTACTTAAAGGTGTTCTCTGGGTATCCCACACACCCTCGAGGGTGCCCTGACAATCGCCAAAGTCGGGCAAAGACCATTCATTAAATAAATCATATTGCATTGGCCACGCCTACGACTCTGGTTCGGGTCGTTTAAGGATTTCCCAGCCAAATACTTTCCGCTGACCTCGGCAAACCACGCAGCCCCAATGTATCCCAATAGCTTCGAATTTCCCACTTCCCAGTTCAGAGTTCACTGTTATTGCGTCTCGTGGCTGTACGCATCGTTATCGTTTTGTTGGTTCCATGTTGCCATGTCCTCTAGTCGATTCTGTCGAGTAGACAAAAAACTATCTTTACGGCTTGTTCAACAATATTTCTGTTGTTCCTCAAGTTTGGCGCGGGATGAGGCTTTGCGGTCGGTTCTCTAGTTCGATAAGAGGTAATTATGAAAGTTCTTCCTGGTAATGTGACGGGGAATGGCTTGTGGCCGAAAACTGTCACGAAAATCAATTTGCGAGGTCAAAGTTTCCGAGGAGAGTCATTCAGTTAATAGTTCTCAGACCAGCAGCGGAAAGATAACATAAACTTAAGGCAACACATTACATCTCTCAATGAAATGTTACAGGAAATAGACAAAATTAGATAGAGTAATCTTGCTGACTGATTTATACATAAATAAATATCGCATATCAATAAAAACCTTACTTTAATTCATCGAAAAATGTCAAGACAATCGAGAATATTCAGCCGATATTGTTGTGATCGATCGGCAATTATCTCTCTATTATATGAAATAGTTTTGAGTGAAAAGTTCAAGTTTTGGTTCAAGTAATATTTCTTGCCGGTACTCAGAGCGGATTTTCTGCTTAGACTATACTGAAACAAGTGTATTATTTTCGGCTCCCACAAATCTCGAACTCCACAATTCTGTAACAAAAACGAGAGAACTGAAAACTCCGTATCATCGTCCGATCGAATTATTATTGTAGCGAGAAGGAAGAAATCATTTTCCCATGCATAACTCATTATTGCCTCCATTCAGTTATCGCTAGACCCATTCCAAATCGATCGTTCAACCCACAGTCAGGGGCTCTTGCAAGGCAAGACAACGTCGGCAATCAGAATTGTCTTTCAAAGAGAACTTCTTGTGGGTTCTGAGACACTCTCATGGAGTGTGATCAAAAATCGTTGGATAACCGCGAATTATGAGAGGACGCCGAGGTGTAACGAATTAATTGGCATACCAGAAAGCCGGTTTGGCGCTCCGCGAAATACAGAAACGGCACTGTCGCCGACACCGATCAATACGCGGATCAGAGGTGAGCACAGAGCACAGGTGATCGCGTTGAAAGTGAAATTGCACTGGAGAGGGGGAAGTGGCATTTAAAAGATGTTTCTGGGCCAAGTGCGCCGAGCCTTACCTCACTCACCAGCACTCCACGTCAAGTTCGGGCCGCGTCAAAACAGCCGCCGCCGCGGATGAAAAACAGTTGCGAACGCAGCTGAGAAACCAAATACCCAGAGCGAAGACAGGGCCGCTCCGTGCCGGGAACAGTTTTCAAATGGGTGCTTTCGCTCGCCGCCTTATAAGCTGCGGCCGAAGCTGCAAGCGGTTTAGTTCCTCGCCGCAAACAACACTAGTCACAACACTAGTCGTGTGGAGCGGAAGCCAGTGGCCCCAGGTGAACCAGTTCCGAGCTAGAGATATACAGAGAGACAAAGAGACAAAGAGACAGAGAGAGAGCTTTTCGAGACAGGAGCAAGTTTTGGCCAAGCGACAAAGGCCAACGGGGCCCCAAGTGAACGGTTCGACGAGTTCATAGACGCGATTCATTGCCAGCCAACAGTCGCCTCGCATTCCGGACATTCAGTAAATCGATCGAGTCGAAAATGTCGCGCATGCCGCTCGTTGCCATACTGCTGCTGATAGCGGCCGCGCAGGCAGCCCCAGCAAAAGAGTCCAAATCTGATGGAAAAGCAACTCCATCCGCTCCTCCGCCCAAAGAAGAGGAGGAGTCCTCCTCGCTGTCACCCATTGAGTCTGGAACCTTTACGATGGATATTGACACGGAACTCATCCTAACCACCGATTCGCGGGGAGAGATATTCTCGCAGGGCACCGACAGTCCGTTCGGCACTACGGAGGAACCATTGCCCGATTCCGTTGTCCTGCAACTAGAGTTAGAGCGAGCCCAGACCGCCCAGCCAGAGCTGCGCGAGACGCAGACCACCGAAATTAACGGGACAACAGAAAAGCCCAGGAGCACGGAAACCAATATACAGATTAATGGCACCACACTAGGGACGAGGTTCAATGCTACCACAGAACCGCCCAAGGGCAAGTACACCAGTAGCTTCTTCCAAAGCAGGCCACCAGCCATTGGAACCGCAAATTTGGTGGACGAAAGCGTGGCCCTCAATAGCGAAGAAGATAGTTTCGAGAACAGGGGAGCTACAATGCCGCCACTCCTACAACTGATTGAAGCTGAAGGCCAGCTGGTGGCGACGCCCAGAATGCTTCCAGAAATGGAAGAATCCCGAACCGAGGCCGGTCTCTTTTGGCTGGCCAACACCGAAGCAGTCGCAATCGAGCAAACCACACTGGTTCCGGAACAAGAAGCCAAGGAATCCACCACTGGGGCTACTACGCAGGAGACAACAGGTAAGTGATGTGTTCCCAACGAGAATATCTCTTAGGTTTAAACGACTAAAGTAACTTATTTATCTTCCCTGCTCGACAACAGAACTGAGTTCCACGCCGCATTCTACATTCACCCAGCCCCCGGTCGAAACCACCACCGAGACTATCGAAACCACTACGACTGCTCCTATAATTACCACCGAGACTATCGAGACAACGACGAATGCTCCTAGAACTACCCCCGAGACTATCGAGACAACGACGAATGCTCCTAGAACTATCACCGAGACTATCGAGACAACGACGAATGCTCCTAGAACTACTACCGAAACAATCCCAACCACTACGAATGCTCCTAGAACTACCACCGAAACAATCAAAACCCCTACGAATGCTCCTACAACTACTACCGAGACTATCGAATCCACCACCGGGACTATCGAAACCATCACCGAGATTATCGAAACCACTACGAATGCGCCTGGAACTACCACAAGCCCTGCACCTGTACTCCTAACCACCAGACAAGCAGTAGTTTTAGGTTCTCAGCCAGAGACTACTGCCAAAAATGTCGTGGAGACCACCACAAGCCTCCCGACCACAACTCAGAGACAAACATCGCCAGAGACCACGACCACAATCCGGAACACCATCTGGACTACTATCCCGACCACACACGGTCCGAGCACCAATGATGTAGCCTCGACTCCCGAGCCGCGTGCCATTCAGACGCGTGCCCCGCGCGTCGAGCGCATCTTCAACTCCGACGGCGTGGAGGTGCTCTACGGGTACTCTTCGGTGGTGCGGACGAATCGGTCTTGAAGCTCTACAACCAAAAATGTGGCCTTGTCAAGGCCAGCTAGCCATAACGGGGAGGAGAAGAATGAGCGATTGATACCCGGTTGCTCTTAGACAGTTTTCATATTCTAAACGAGTTAAATATTAAAATATTTAAATATCATTCAGCTGACCGAAGCACAGTGTGATAAACCAAAAAACTAAACGAATCGGCATGAAATTAAATGATACATAATACAGATACGAATGAATCCGCGTCGTGGAATGCGAATACAGATACAAAATATTGTGCAAAAATGCGTACGGTCCGCCAAGTGGGGAAAGAGAGAAATGCTGAAGATAAACGATTTTATAAATTATAAATAAAACATGAATAGCAATATTCCATTCGTGTTTGCGTTGGATATTGAACAAAGAAAAAATTTAGTCTGTGTTTTACACATTGTTGATCCACCAGTCTGCTTCAGCCTTATATCGCCGTATGACATAATATTGAATCAACGAAATCTGTTTGGGCATCGATGCACTACACTGAGAGTAGATGGCATGGATTTGAGGCTAGTACACAAAAAGAGGTGCGGCATTTACCTACGTGGTGTAAATCCCTATATTTCCGATTTTCTATTTTTAATTTGGGTTGTCAACAATTGTGAAGAAAGGTGTTTGCTGAGAACAGCTCAGATCTGTTTCTCTTATACGCTTGGCTCTCTTAGATCGCCATCTATGGTATATGAATCATTTTGCAGATCGTTGAGGCAGCGCACCCAAGAAACCCAAAACAATGTGCGGGCACCGCCAGCAAACGGCAACCCACCAGCTGAATGCTGCCCACCTGCGTTCGGAAACCGGCAATCGTCTCAAAAGTCGTCATACATTTTTGTGCTTTATGTTCCGGCATGGACCCGGACGGACGGGCGAACACGTGGACCAGCTATGCCAACTGGTCGGTTCCATTCGATCGGTCTGAGTCTGGTCCGGCGGCCATAGCTTTGCAGATTATTCATTCATCGATTCGGCGAATTATCAAACTGTGTAGGGCTCTTGGGGATTTAGCAATGACTCTCACGTTCGCTGTGGTCTATGGGCTGGCTCTGCGCTGCTCCCGTTCAGACTTGAAAGTATTCGACAATAAAATAAACACAACGCGCTAATTTCCATTTGAACTTGAGCAGGCGTTAAACTGCATGTTGAATACGAGTATACTCATGCATACACACATGTATTGAATGAATGTGAATTGAAGGTTTTGGCAATTCGGGTTTTTTTTTTGGGTATAGCCAGGCAACTAAGCTGGGACTGGGCATTGGAATGTGCACTAGCCGACGATTAGTCACTATTAGGGAGAGATGTGGTACCAAGCCTCATAGGTACATATTGAAAAACAATTGGGAAAAATCACTGCAAATTGCTAAACAAATATATGGTCTTTCATTAAATGGTTTAGATTTCATTTTGATAAATCTTATTTTTTTGAATTTTATTTTGATTTGGGCAATCCTTTCAGCCATGTAATTGAAATTTTGAAATGATGAAATTTGGAACATAATTTTCACTCCCATAAGGCCATATGTAATGAAACACATGCTTCGAAAAACAAACTCAAAAGCAGTATTTGGAAGGTGACTACTTTTTGTAGTATAATCACATGTTTCGAATTCAATTCGAATGAACAGGCATTAATATTTAGTTATTATATATACATATATAATTGTTTAAACTTTTAATTGAAGAATATATTTCTGTATGTAGTACATCTGAGAGCAACGACATACTCTTAAGTAAAATTAGGTTGCCGCAATGCATACTTTATTTAATCCGAAATTTAAGGAAGCCTAAAACTATGCCCTGGAACGATATTAAAATAAAATAATCAACCTCAGCCTAAAGGTCTTTCAGCTCTGACTGTAACTAATTTAATTGAAACGCGAGATTTATCTTAATCTACAATTTTATAAGTAAAATAGATAATATATAAATGACAATCGCTTTCACATCTTTTATATTAATTATTTGCCAGATTGATATCACTCAAGCTGTTCAGCTGACTGAATAGAATATTGGACTTATGGACTTATTGGAATATGGACTTATGTCCATATGTATGTACATACATATATCTTAGAAAGTAGAACGAATGAACTACTATGGAATCTATTCAGCCGGCTGAACTTCAAGTTTCCAGTCCGCACACCATTTCACACGTTTATATGCCTAAACGAGGGGGAACGTTGTGAGTTGCTGCGGACACCGCAACTCTACAGTTATACCCGATACTTAGTCAGTATGGCTCTCCTCCGGCAGCGCCGCTAATATTAAACGACACGACATCGAGTGCGTGCGAGAGAGACAGAAAATCAGTCTGAGCGTGACGTCGGGCGCTGCGTAGCCACTGCAAATTGATTTGTTCCTTTTGGCTTTAAAAATGATCTGATCTGATCCAGATTCAGCAATCTAATAGATATGGTCATTATCTATGATTCTGCGTTTTTAGTTTTCTCAAATCTGCAATATTGTGGATGCAACAGATTTTCGTCCTTTGTGGGGGCGGATGGGGGTGGGGCGAAATTCTGAGATATACGTTTTATAGTGACATCTTAAAGGAGTGTGTGTACCAAATTTGGTTACTCTAGCCTTAATAGTCTCTGAGATTTGTGGTTGCCTCAGATTTTCGTCCTTTGCGGGGGCGGAAGGGGGTGTGGCGAAATTTGGACAGGAAACGGTCAAGGTCCGATATCACAGGAGTGTGGATACCAAATTTGGTTGCTCTGGCTTTTATAGGTTCTGAGATCCTTGAACTCATATTTTGCAATTGGCAAAACCGACCATGAAACCTGTGTGTTAGAGTGAGACAGAGCGAGAAAGAGTGAAATTGTTTTCGTGATTCTGGCTGTAATAATTATACGATCTGGTTCAGATTTTGCACTCTAGAAGATATAGTCATCTTCTACGATTCTGCGTTTTTAGTTTTATCGTATCGTCGAAATTGTGGATGCCACAGATTTTCGACCTTTGTGGGGGCGGAAGTGGGCGGGGCAAAGTTTTGAAATATTTTTGTAGCAGTGACATATCACAGAAGTCTGGATCCAAAACATCGTTGCTCTAGCTCTTATAGTCTTTGAGCATTAGGCGCTGAAGGGGACGGACAGACGGACAGACGGACAGACGGACGGACGGACGGACGGACAGACAGACAGGGCTCAATCGACTCGGCTATTGATGCTGATCAAGAATATATATACTTTATAGGGTCGGAAACGATTCCTTCTGGACGTTACACACATCCACTTTTACCACAAATCTAATATACCCCAATACTCATTTTGAGTATCGGGTATAAAAATGTGCTAAACGGAACCACTCACACATAGATTATAGCCCTGGAACTGATTAGTTTTAAATAAACAAATATAATCAACATATCTAGAAAACTAGTATAGCCCAGCCTTTCGCACACGCTGGCTGGTGCGAGTATATAAGGGACTGCGCTCCACTCAGAGAGCATCGCAAGCTCCAACCATGAAGTTCTTTGCTCTGTTCGCTTTCCTGCTCCTCGCTCTGGTCGCCGTGCAGGCTACCCCCGGCCGTGGAGGACCAGGTGGAGCACCAGGTGGTGGTGCTGGTGGCGCCGCCGGAGGCAGTGCCTCGGCCACTGCCAATGCCAATGCTCAGGCTTTGAGCTCAGGAAATGGACCAGCTTCTGCCACGGCCAATGCCAACGCTGCTGCCACTTCCCAGGGCGGTTCCGGCGGTAATCGTCGCGGTTAAATTGCTGAGAACCAACAAAGATCGACCAGGAACAGGCATGGATACGAAGCTACGGCGAAAAGTGGGCCCGTCCCGTGACGGGCCTCCACTGGCAAAGCATTATCGAGATAACATTTGAATAAAACATATTCTGCGGATAGAAAATTTGACTATTTGTTTGGCTTGGACTGTGTTTCAGATAAAACAATAGACTCTACATAGATCCGATGGGATTAGGTAACTTTACGAGAAGGAAACTTTAACCTGCTGAACGGTATTCGGTCAGCAAACCACTTTTTGTGTTAAATTTCTGGCTTTGATTTGTTCAACTAATTTGCATAATTAATATTTCGCTAAAGAAAACACGAATTACCTGCTAAAATCACCACCTGTTGTTTGATATTATTGGGGCCATTCGCTTAGGAAAGTTCCAAGAAGAAGAACGAACAAAAGTAACAAAATAATAGCGAAATTTTGCATTTTTGTATCACCAGCAAAATCTTTTTTCAGCAATCGTGCTGCTGATATCGGATTTTAAATTGCAGACTATATTCTTTTGAATGGAGAAAAATCTGAAGGAAAGTTGGTCAAGAGTCTAATTCCTTATAATAACATATTCTAAGACAATCCCAAGATCCCAAGAGACTACCAATGGAATACCCGACTTTACTGCTGGACGTGAAAAGGAATTACTTTCTGTCTCACAAAAAAATAATGATACCAACTTTTTAATATAATTAATCTTTTGCCGTTGTACACTGACCAACCGGTCATATCAAAGCAAAATATTTTGAAATGAATTCCAATAGGTTTTCGATATACGAGTACGCTAGTCAGACGCACTTTCTCTTCATTTGCCGCTCTACAATTTTGTAATGAATATTTTTAGTTTTTTTTTTTTTTTGGGTTCTTAAAAGCGTAACAGTCGTTTCAATATCACTATGGATTGTGTATTGTATTAATTCTACCATATTACGTATAATATTCACAATTAAATAATGTAATAAATGAAATTGAACATCTCCATCTATATTAGCAAGCAATAAGCGTTAAAGCCCAGTTCATAAAAAAACGGGTCTGGATTAAATTGTACGGATGCAGGAATTGTATAAAAGTGGCCGGGAATCTCTAAGAAATCATTGCAAGCTCCAACAATGAAGTTCATTGCCATTATGTTGCTGCTGTTGCTCCTGCGGCTGTGGGTGGTGCGGCTGTGGCTGCTGCTGTGGCTGTGGCTGGGACTGTGGCAAAGCCTGCTCCTGGGGTGGTTGAAAGTGCGCCTAAAAGTGCATTCACATGAGAATCTTTCACGAAAAAGGGACAAGTTTTTATACCAACCTGAGGCGCATACTCCTTTTTCATACCCTGGCACTGGCAAAGGCACAGGCACACGGGTATTCTAATTTGGAGACGCACAAAGGAAACGAAACATTTGCAATCCTTTCACACACTTTTATGCCTTTTAGGTATCTGCCGAGTGAAACATAGTAGTTGTAGGTGTAGAAGGAGCCGGAGCCATAAACGCGAAGCCCCCCATGTTCAATAAGTTCAATCTGGCTGGATCGGAACGATGCGCCAGTACTTCTTCCAGCGAGGACTGATCCAGGAAGACCATCAACATCTACAAGTGTCTTCTGTCCCTAGGCCTGGAACGTGGTCAACGCTTTGGATTCGGACCAAACTCCTACCATCAGTCCATCAGTCCATGCTGATGCTTCTTCCAATGAAAAACAAGCCACTTTTAGCTAGTGGCCAACGGAACATGAAGAGTGGCCTGCTAAAGAAACTGTTTTAGAAATGATCCGTCAAGACGTGTTGAATGACAGCCAGGTCATACTCACCGGCCACGTCGAGTGGGTTCAATAGGAAGAAGTTCCTTTCGAGATCGGTCAAGATGGATGTTAAGTTGGTCGTTAATCAGATTCCCGCGGCATAAGCCGCGGCAGTTGCCACTTTCGCCGCCGGCATTGCCAGTAGAGATGCAGTCCCTGCGGCATTTGCATCTCCTTTTCCGGCGAACATATTTCTTCCCGTTTTGCAGGACAGTACTTCTATTGAACCGTCGCTGTCTTGTCGCTGCTCTCCGCTTCCTACACGTGTGAGGAAAGGTTATTTACATTAGCACTCAAGTAACTATTTGTATTTGAATATTCTTATCTGGATTTTGGAATACCAATTGGATATTTGGACTGTGCCTGTACGGTGACAGAAGGACTTAAGGTCCTCTTTGGCATCCACTGGGAAAGCCTCGTCGCTTACCTTCTCGTGGTCGGACTGCATCCGCTACTCCTTCTGGAGGGCTCCTGCTGGACTAGGGCTTTGAGTGCGTCTTCTTGCTGATTTTAGTAAGGCAGCGGAGGCGGTTGTCCCGGTTGTTGAGGCAGACCTTCTGCTGGAGATCGGCTAGTCAAATAAATTGTGTGGTAGTCGCTGCCCGATCCTCCATTGGGGGCTTCAGACTGTGCTCCTGACGTCCACCAGAAAGAGACTAAAATCCAGATCGCAGTCTGTTGGTGGACTGAGACTGCTCGCATTTGCGCTTCATCATCTGATGTTGCTTGTCGTGGAGGGTCCTGCAGGCCCAACATATCGCTCTTCATCCTCTTCGCCATTCGATTGATGCCGCGCCACCATCCTGTGCACCTGATGATCGTGTATGGTATGGCCAGATTGCAAAGCATTGATCATTTTCCTGGCCTAGCACCAGGAAACACCAATTGATGATGATGATCTTCTTGAATCAGGGACACTGGGAAAAGACGTGGCGCAGTGTTTCGAGCCTTCCAGTTTGACCAAATTAAACATGGAGGTTGTGGCGAATGTGGCTCCAGCTTCCTGGCCACCCTTGAAATTGGTTCCTCGGGACGAGGAACAGAGCCGCGCCTCAGATGATCGAGTCACCTCCCCTCCTGGTTGGAGCTGACCACCTCGCCGGAAGTCTGGTGGAATAAATAAGGATATAAAATCGGAGGTAAAACTTTTGTGAATTAATTTTCTTACCGATTCCAACAATTTTCCTGACAAGTATCGAAGTGTTGAAAATAAACAGTGTTGTGAAGTTCTGTACTGTGTTGATCTAACAGCTGAAGCCTGGCAGCTTGTGGCTGTGTTACTGTGTTACACAAATCAAATGCTGCAGTGCAAATGGATACTTGAAGTCGCCTCAACACTACTTTATCTGTAACAGTTTCGGGAGAATTGTGAAACGAGTCAGTCACTATTAAAAATAGAAAAAAGTTGAAGCCGGTAACAAAATCTGTGCGGAATACAAAATAAACTTTAAATTTTAAATTAGTTTTCAGCCGTGAAGTGCCGAGAAAGAAAAAAACCCGACCAGCCGCTAAGAAGACCCCAAAACCGACAGGGCCGGCCAACGATGTTGAAGATTGTGTAATTTGTGTGGAGGCGATGAAAAATCCTTTCAAACTGACCTGCGGGCACTCCTTTTGTACGGAATGTCTCCGATGGGCGGTCAGGTTGAGAGCTGAAAATTAATTTGCAACCATTTCGGTGAGAGCTGAAAATGTAACTCGAAGCGTCTGTCCATTGTGCCGTGCTATATTTCGCACCGGTCCTCTGCTCCTCTCCGCTAAAAGGCAAACAAAACCAAAACACGACACCAAATACATACACAATACGCACTCTTAAGCGTCAAAACAGATATTCACCACACCCCGCCTCATTTTGACGTTGAGCAACACTTTTATATACACACTTTTTATATTCAACACTTCGTAGCTTCGAGAAAATTCTCAGAACTGGCAAGTAAATCGTTCGTTTTGGTAAGAAAATGAGCGGACAAAATAAAAAGGATGTTGTTTGAAAAAAGGTTTGATTTCAGCCGTGATCTACTAAAAAATATGGCGACTAATAAGAAGGACAAGCCAGCTGAAGCTGAGGAAGAAACTAAGACGGGCAGCGCTGAAGACTTTTGCTCGATTTGCTATGGTCCGAAAGTGGATCCCTTTGCATTGCCCTGCAAGCACACGTTCTGTAACACTTGCATAGAATTTCTGGTTGAACAGAGGTCTTACTATTTGGGTGAAATTATTCCTGATCCAGTCATGCGTTGTCCAGTGTGCCGCGAAAGGTTTCGCTCAAAAAAAGCTGTTGCCACTTCCCCCCAGCCATAGTTCTGAACACATATACTCACAAAAGCCAAATAAATTTTGATTAATAATTATAAGCAGAGTGGTGTTTTTGTAGTGCTTTCCTGGCTCCGGGAAATCATCCCTTACCTGCCCATAAAGACAGAAGGACTGTGGGGCCATTTCCATTCCAATTTGAAAGTGTCGGACTGGCCAGATATTTTTCAGATTTGATATCACCAAACCTTACATAGCCCCAAAATGTATCTCTGCAAAACCAACCCTTAATCTCCTTTGGATCCACTGAAATCGAAAGAAACAACATAAGTAGACCCTACCGCCTTTGGACAGACAAAGAGATGATATATAAATATATACATATACATCTGTACATGTTTTTCCACGGTACTCTGATAATCAAAAATGTATTCCCAATTAGTCAAAGATTCGTTTCTTTTCGCCTGTGAAAAGAACAAAGTAAAAGGTTTCATATACCAAATGGATCTACAATGCAAAAGTATTCCAGCCTTAGTATATCCATTAGGGACCTAAGACATCCGAATTCCAACTGATTTGCAATGAATTGATTGGATCGATATAAAAAAGATTTAATTTCAATGAAAACTCAGTTCCAACTCATCCAACATCGGGTTTCCGGGACCATGACATGGGCCGATATTCCAATTCCAATTTCTCCACACCAGGCCGGCCCTGGCCGCCGTTCAGGCAGCACCTGGTGGACCAGGTGGTCGAGGCGGCTTTGGACCAGGTGGTGGTGGCGGCTATGGACCTGGTGGTGGTGGCGGATATGGACCAGGCGGTGAAAGGAAACACTTTCTGTCTCACAAAGAAATAATGGTACCAATTTTTTAATATAATTTATCTTTTATCTATACACTGACCAACCGGTCATATCAAAGCAAAATATTTTTAAATGTTTCCAATAGGTTTTCAATGTACGAGTACGCTAGTCAGACGCACTTTCTCTTGACTTGCCGCAACCAACACAATTTTGTAAAGAATATTTTTAGTTTTTTTTTTTTTTTTTTGGGTTCTTAAAAGCATCACAGCCGTTTCAATATCACTATGGATTGTGTATTGTATTAATTCTCCCATATTACGTATAATATTCGCAATTAAATAATGTGATAAATGAATTCGAACATCTCCATCTATATTAGCAAGCAATAAGCGTTAAAGACCAGTTCATAAAAAAAACGGGTCTGGATTAAATTGTACGGATGCAGGAATTGTATAAAAGTGGCCGGGAATCTCTCAGAAATCATTGCAAGCTCCAACAATGAAGTTCTTTGCTCTGTGCGCTTTCCTGCTCCTCGCCCTGGCCGCCGTTCAGGCAGCACCTGGTGGCGGCTTTGGACCAGGTGGTCGTGGCGGCCTTGGACCAGGTGGTGGTGGCGGCTATGGACCAGGCGGTGGTGGCGGTGCCTCGTCCATTGCTAATGCCAATGCTCAGGCTTCGAGCTCGGGACGTGGACCTTCTTCTGCTATAGCCAATGCCAATGCTGAAGCTATTTCCCGGGGTGGTGGCGGCGGCGGTCACCGCGGTTAATTTTGTTGGTGGGCTCAAGGATCGACCTCAAACAAACCTGGATAATCAGCGAAGTCAAGTTGTCATCATTATCGAGAAAATATTTGAATAAAAAGCCCTATTTTCGGAAACGAAATAGAAATTCTCCAAATTACTTTACCCCAATTACTTTACCCAACAAGCCTTTACGTCAGCAGAAGTGGCAGATACGAGTATCTCCTAAAAATATGCTAGCTTCCGAGGTGGAGCCATCCAGTAAATCCACATATGTATACTTTCTTATTTGTATAATTTCTGCGGTAGCCAAGTCTCCGAAAGAAACCTGTTATTGGGGCCGCTTAATTTATGAAATTGATTTGATCATCTAATTTGCTTAATTAATATTTGCCCATCTGCTAAAACATAACACAGTTGGTTTGTTTGTATAACTGAAATCATCTTTATGGAGAGTAAAACAAGTTATCATGAAGTAACAATTTTAGAGGGGACAATAGTCACCGTCCTGTCTAATGCACTTATCTCAAAGACTATAAGAGCTGAGGAACCAGATTCTTGTGTGATCAAATGTTATCAAGTACCTCCTCAAATTTCAACATCTTTTACCATTCTGGAACACTACTTACGCATAATCATATAAAAAGAAAAGACAACACAGCTCAAAACAAAACAAAACAACTTCAGCTTGTATTTTTCTCAGTGTACCTACGTCAGAGCGACCCGGTCATAATCAAATCTGCCGAAAACAGAAAAAACACCAAAAGAGAAATGGAATAAAAATACATATTTACGATCTAGACAGCTTGGACATTAGTAATTCAAATTTGTACCGGTTGAAAAACGCAACAAATTGATTAGCTCTGCACTGAAAGAGATAATACTAGAGCTAGATCTGATAAAATAAATCCTCTTTACTAAGGTATTAATCTACAATTGAGTTGTAGTCCGGCAGTCCAATTATTTTCAAAGTAAAAGTAAAAGTAAAAGTAAAGAAACGCAAGTGTCTAGTAATAAGAGAAACAACCTTAAGTGTACCGAGGCTCTAAGAATCGGATCTTAAGACCCTTCTGATCCTTCCAATACTTTAAGAGCTACAACAAAATTTTAAAATCATTTCCTTAAAAGAGAAGAACGAAATTATTACCAAGATAAGGAGACCAGACCTAACTAATTTAAGAATTAGTAAGAAAGCTAATAATATATGTATATAGTAATCCGATCCATCCTGTTATATCGATCGGCACTGTTATAGGGACTCCGCTTTTTAACCTGGTCAATAATGAAGGTACGTCAATGCATATGTATACACTGTATGTGGGGGACCTTTACGAATCGTGCATGGTCATCCCGGATGAAGTTTGTTCGATGCTAGCCGCCGCCCGATTATCTACATATGTACTCGATGGATGTTTTTGTAGTTATATCGGATTGTATTATTTGAGATCCGCACATGGCATATTAGGGATACTCCCACTTATGCCTTTCAAACATGTATCTTACTGTATGGGTTGAAAGTAGTCACTGATTTGTGTGAAAATAACTCTAAAGGCGGTTCTTATTCAGTTTTTTTAAATATTTTAATTTTTGTATAAATATTAAAAAACTAAATCACTGAGAAAGTTGGGATCGTCTTCTTTGATTACTTGCCCACAGCGCTGGCCACGGCATTAGCGTTGGCACTGGCGCTGCCGCCACCGCGGGTATTGGCACTGGCATTGGCATTAGCGTTGGCGTTGGCATTGCCTCCTCCAAATCCATTTCCTTCGGCATTGGCGTTGGCACTGGCGCTGGCATCGGCATTGCCGCCTCCGAAGTTGCCTCCTGGGCCACCGAATCCTCCGGGACGGCCTCCGAAGTTGCCTCCTGGGCCACCAAATCCTCCGGGACCGCCTCCGAAGTTACCTCCAGGACCACCGAATCCTCCGGCTTCGCCAAATCCGCCTTGAGCACCAGGACGACCACCATGACCACCATGATGTCCGCCGTGGTTAGGTCCGCCGAATCCTGCTTGTCCGCCAGGGCCTCCGAATCCAGGTCCGCGCTGTCCGCCCTGACCTTCAGCCGCAGCGTTGGCATTGGCGTTGGCGTTGGAGCCGGCACCACCGAACTGTGGGGCAGCCGATGCCACGGCCAGAATGGCGAGAGCTACGAAGACCTTCATGATGCTTTGCTTGTCCGGAGTCAGTCAAGAAACTTAACTATCATTGCCGCAGGGCCCGGCTTTTATACCTATCCAGACGCTGACCAGACGCCAAACATTGAACCAGGCCAACGCTCGAGAACGAATTAGCACGCAAACAAAACTCAGAGCCAAAAACAACATACAAGAGCAGCGATCTAGGCATGGCCAGTCGAATGAGTAGTAGATATATTTTTGTATTTTGATCAGATGCAACAAGCCGAAGCACTAAGAGGAAAGTTTGCTAATGCTGGGGACCCACACGGGCCGCATTCGAGTGCCTTCCAAAGAAACCGGTTTACGTCTATCAATATTTAACAGCTTATTGATATTTGTGTTTCTTTTTCATTAAATCTTTTTTGGCACTGTCAGCATTTGGGACTAAATGGAAGAGAGTTAATGATCAGCGCTTTTACCTGGTACTTTACCAGGAAGTACACATGCATACCTATATACATATATATACTCATACGAAGTACATATGTATAATACCCTAACTGGAGTACAACCATTCCATAGTAACATTCGCTTGTGGGCTGTTCATTCAGTTGATCAAATGACTGATAGACAGTCTTATCATTGTGAAACGCACCTTTTACTCTTTAACATGATTCCCTTACAGTCTAGTTTCTCATGTTAATTTATATTCTGCTGAATGTTCTTTTGATCGCAGTAGAGAAGTTCCAATTTTAATTCTTCCTTGTTCTTCCATGAAACAAAAACCAAAATGAATTAATTCCACACAAAAAAGTATATAAATATTATCATATTTACGTTGCTGTAATTTACTGACTGCCGAACAGGCCCCTAGAAAATTAGCATAACTCTTAGGCAGAGACAGAAGTCTTCCGTTTGTTTTGAACACAACCTTCATTTCAAATGTAAATTAATACATACTCGTAGTGGTGCCGGATCGGAGTAATATAAGCGATAACACTATGCAGCAAAATCTAATCTATTTTATCTGTACTATTTGAATTAGCTAATACAGGAAACAAATTTTAATTCTATATTTTGTGTTATAAACTAAAATTAATATTAATAGTATAAATGGATTTATTTCACAAATATCTACTCTAAAAAGTACATCGTTCGCTTATCCAGGGCATAAATTTATAGCCATTTTATCTATTTTAATTTTGAGCCGCACAAAAAGTAAGTTTCATGATAGTTGTATTGCCTGTTGCACAGTGTAATAAGAACGGATGACGTGACCTGTGTCGGGTCACCAGATGAATATTTACAGGACATAAGATGCAGTGAAATTCGGGTGCTGGCAAGAAATGCCTACATTAGTGCATTTAAGTTACAGACAAATTACTAAGAGTATTAGTGTATTATCATTAGAGTATTTCAATCAGCGTACTAGAAAAAGGTTTCCAAAACAACAATCACGGTCCGGCCACAGACAATTTTTTTTTTTTTTTTTTGATTAATACTTGTATATAACTTTAAGTTAATAACAAAAAAAAAACAAAAAATACTATAAAGATAAATCCATTTTTGCTTGGATTGGAGTCTTATAAAGAGCTGCCAAAATGTATGTCGAACCAGCGAAAACATGTTATTTTTAAAAGCTCACATCTGAGCTGGTACTCATTCCAAATATATGTGAGCTTATGATCTATGTATACAATATATATTATATATTATTATTGTATATTATAAACGTCAGCGCCGAAATTGGTATCGGAGACGATGCTCGCCACATGCTATCTCTCTCTATTTAACTCTCTGTCTTTTGCTATCATTGTTCAAAAAAGATACAAATTGATTTGTTGGCTAATGCGTGCTCGGGGGATTTTGGTAGGACTGTGAACTCAGACCGCGAACTATCTATATTTTGCTCAAACTTTTTATGAGAGAGGGGAAAAACATAAAGGGGAAAAAACGAGAGGTACCAGGACCGCTAGTTATGTTCTAGAGTTAATTCTTTTACTTCGTTTATCCCCGTTCCACCCAATGATTTATTTTACCAGAATTTTAATATATTTTATCTGTTTCCATTATTGTGCCACTGTTTTGCTCACTTCTCACACCAACACCAGTCGTTATATCTCAATCCTCTCCGACCGGGGGCGCACACTGCACGCCGAAGATTGTGTGTGTGAGAGAGAGACAGAATGAATGAGCGCGTGGAAGGGGGAAGCTTATTCACTGAACATTTATTTTTCCATTCTGGCTCTTCTGGTTATTCTTTATGGATCGGTTTTTTCGGTTTTCGAGTATCTTTGAAATTGTAGCATTAAAAGCCAGAGTTGATATAGCAGTATCAGAGGTGGAATATACACAGATAATATGTATGCATAGTGTACTATATGTACTGTATCCTAGTTTTACATATTATGATCATGAACTTTATAGGGTCGTGGATCCGTTTAACTTTACGTGCTATTATTGAAATCAATACAATTTTGTACGTTATGTTTTATTCACAGTCATTTCTTAACAATTATTTCAAAATATCTTATGGAATGGTTTAACCCCGTCCGCCACCTGCGGCAGAGGCAGAGGATGATGCGGATGCAGAGCCGCCGCCGCCGCGACGACCGCCGCCTCCGGCAGCAGAAGCCGATGAAGAGGCTGAAGCTGAGCTGGAGCCACCACCACCGCCACCTCCGAAACCGCCGCCGGGACGACCTCCAAAGCCGCCGCCGCCGCCTCCGAATCCTGGACGTCCGCCGAAGCCGCCGCCTCCAAATCCGGGACCGCCTCCGTATGCTGGACCGCCTCCAAAGCCACCGCCTCCAAAGCCGGGGCCGCCTCCAAAGCCGGGGCCGCCTCCGAAACCGCCACCGGGACGACCGCCGAATCCGCCGCCTCCAAATCCGGGGCCGCCTCCAAAACCTCCAGGACGTCCGCCGAAACCGCCGCCTCCACCGAATCCTTGGGCCTGGGCGTTAGCGTTGGCGTTGGCGTTGGCATTGCCACCGCCGAACTGTGGCAAGGCCGAGGCCACAGCCACCAAAACGGAGAGCGCGATAAACAGTTTCATGACTACGCTTGTGTTCCCTCGAGAGAGCTTCGCAAACTTAGCTACTACCCCGCCGGGGATCGCTTTTTATACAGTCTCGAGGCAATAGATAGACCGGGAAAGTGCCCGGACGGCTAAGCCGTTCTCTCGGCTCGGTGATGTACCGTGAATCGCACTCCAGACTTCTGCTGAGCCAGAGATTCGGCCGGGCTACAGCGTCAACGCCAACAGCAACAACAATCGTAGAATCGATGGCCCAGCAAATTAACAATATTTATGGCTTGGCTCATTAGCAAGTTCGGGGCGTACGATGGTTGTACCCTACACAGTCTCGGGTGGCTCGATCTCGATCCCCCCACTGCAACCGGTTAGTATTTATCTCTTCGGATGCTCCATTCTCGATGCTGGAGAGCAAATCGAGAGCACGACGCTCGTGCATTTCCGACAGTATCGGATCTGTGGTTTGGGTACATATATTATTGTGGTTTGAGTATATTATTGTCACTATACTTGGATTTTGGACGACTAAATAGATAATCTTGCTTGTTTGAATAATATAGATACGGATGTGGTCTGGTCTTAATTTACACTACAATACATCTGATAGCAAATTGATAGCAGCACCGTCTAAAGTCTCGAACATCAAAACATCACAAAAACGTAACTAGAAAGAAAAAGAACTAGTTCACTGTAGCCATCTCTATCGAAGAAAATCTTAATTTCACCATTATGTCAGAAACAGCTAAATAAATGAGCCGGTCGCCATAATTTATGCTGAATTATTTCTTCGCAACATCTAATTTTGTTTGCCATGGTGCAACTTTTTGTACATTTATCTGCTTTGGATTTCCCTAAAACCCAATACAATTTGATAATGATATAACACTTTTATTTGGCCAAATTCAAAATGTTAATTATTCTAATTAATGCAAAAATAAAATTAAAAACCCACCACATTTTCGCTTTTATTTTTGTTTGTTCAATTTGGGATACAAAGTAAGCAATCTCGACATCAGTTAAATTTTAGATCGTATAATGAGTGTCAATATGTAGATTATATGTGTGGGCAATCTAAAATACAGGGGAGTCCCCAGTGCTCGGATACCTAAGAAGTAGGGCATTAGACAGCCTCATACTACTTCCGCACCTGCATCATCAAAGCCTACAAATGTATGTGCAACTATTTTTATTATTTCATCGACTTATATGCGTGAATTAACGGCAGTTTTATGCACTGTAGTTCCATTTCATTCAACATGATTGGAATCGAGTCTCATGGCAGAAACAACTAAATAATTTTTGTCTTCTCCTTTTACCCATCGACAACGAACTCTTGCTATCTCTTTTCGCCGAGAATACGCGCACAACAGTTGTTGTCCCCTTTTTTCACTTTCCGTTTAGAATGCGGTTTCCCTGCACACAAGCACACGACCCTGTGTTTTCACATAATTTCGTATAATTAGGCCTTGCAAATGTAACACAAAATCGAATAATCAAAAAAAACGAGGGGGAACGTTGTGAGTTGCTGCGTACACCGCAACTCTACAGTTATACCCGATACTAAGTCAGTATGGCTCTCCTCCGGCAGACGCCGCTAATATTAAACGACACGACAAAGAGTGCGTGCGAGAGAGACAGAAAATCAGTCTGAGCGTGACGTCGGGCGCTGCGTAGCCAATGCAAATTGATTTGTTCCTTTTGGCTACAAAAATTATCTGATCTGATCCAGATTCAGCAATCTGATAGATATGGTCGTTATCTATGATTCTGCGTTTTTAGTTTTCTCAAATCTGCAATATTGTGGATGCAACAGATTTTCGTCCTTTGTGTGGGCGGAAGGGGGTGGGGCGAAATTTTGAGATACACGTTTTATAGTGAGATCTAAGAGAAGTGCGGATTCCAAATTTGGTTACTCTAGCATTAATAGTCTCTGAGATTTGTGAATATCCCCAGATTTGCATCCTTTGCGGGGGCGGAAGGGGGTGTGGCGAAATTTTGAAACAAACTCGTCTCGGTCTGATATATTCGGAGTGTGGATACCAAATTTGGTTGCTCTAGCGTTTATAGTCTCTGAGATCTAGGCGCTAATGTTTTACTCTAAGGAAAGCCGCCTATGCTACGTGTGTGTTAGAGAGAGACAGGGCGAGAAAAAATGCGCGGGGCAAACTGGACTTGGTTTGGCTAAACATTACACGGCTTAATTACGCGGCTGAACTCACAGCCGCACAAAGTAACCGGGTCTCAGTAAACAAATATTACACGGCGCACTTATGAACATCATTTTGCGTACAATTACCCCTTTTATTTATTTTGCTCTTTTACTGAATGGCAAATGGCAGTCACGTGTGCACGTCAACAAATTACCATAAATTACTTCATTTGGCGATCAGCTGATTAGTATTTCGTTAGTGATGATAGTATCGTATCAGAAAGGCGCAAAAACGATCGAAACGCACCTGCGTGGAAAAGAAACTCCTATTTTTGCCAGTACTAAGTTTGTTTTGGTTAATCTTGCTGCTTAATTTTTGCCAATCCTAAATCCTAAAGGGCAATTGTGCTCAATTGTGGGCTCAAGTATCGGCACTTGCATTTTTTCAATCGACTCGCACGTAGCCTCATACCGTACCAATTCTTTTTCTGATGTCAATTTCTTTGCTACAAATGATACAGCAACTGTTTGTTTGGGCGAACAGGAGGCCGTCTTCGCATGCCTTTGTATTCCGGCACAACAGGTTGTGGTGCTGGCGGGAAAAATGCGCGCGCGTTTCATCTACAGGCGCCGGGTGGCCATTAACTGTAAAGTGCTTCATTACGTTCTTCTCCTGTGGTGTTTTGGTGTTTCATGTATGTAGATGTGTATGTGTTGCAGCAGCATTTGCAGGTTGACAAATTTGTGCTACGACAAAGGGTAAATGACCGTTCATGAACTACGTGATGGAGAGACAATGACACTAAAAATTCGGTTTTTGGATTTTATATTTTCAGACTTTCTTCACACATTAACCCTATCTTAAGTATAAACCACAGACATCCGGTCTAGCCATAGAAGCCACCGCCGCCTGATGCTGAGGCAGATGAGGAGGCCGAGGATGAAGCGGCACCGCCGCCTGCCGCTGAAGCGCTAGAGGAAGCCGATGCCGAGGCAGCACCACCTCCACCACCGCCGCCGCCGCCGCCATGACGACGACGACCACCACCGCCTCCAAAGCCGCCATACGGGCTCCCGCCGAATCCGCCATATCCAGGCCCACCTCCAAAGCCGCCATAGCCCGGACCACCTCCGAAACCGCCTCCAAAGCCAGGACCTCCTCCAAATCCTGGTCTTCCATAGCCGCCGCCTCCGAATCCAGGTCCGCCAAAGCCAGGTCCGCCAAAGCCTGGGCCACCAAAGCCGAATTGAGGAAGGGCCGATGCCACGGTGACCAAAACTGCCAACACAATCAGAATCTTCATATTTGGATTTCTGCCTGTATGTATATGCGCTGAGCCGTCAAGAGATGAACTGACGGTCTCTCACCAGAGCCCCAAAAGTATTTATACTGCGTGTATTATCCGAAACGCTGGTCGGCTACGGCCGACGCTTGTGATAAATGGGTGGTTCCAACCGTCCCAGCTCGGCCGTCCAACAGATCACTTACCGGTTTTCTTTTCATTTCATTTCATTTGCTTTTATATCTAATTATCAGTGGCGATGGCGGCGTCAAAAGCGCCGGGTGAATCCCCAAACCCGTTACGATACAAACATGCATAATTATGGAGCACAGCGCAGCATACTCGCACTCGTTTACCCTAGGTATGAGTCGTCGTCGAGTGTCTGCAATAGAAGAAGAGCTGTTGTTTACTGATTCGAATGATGCTCGAGGGCTTCCTGATCTGCGTTATTCCCCACTGGACTCAAGTGGCTGGGGAGCTGTCCAATTTTGTAAGGCCGATCATCTGACAAGTTCATCTTGAAGAGTTTATTCCCCTGCTTTGTTTTGTTTAGACGAAAGCGGTTTTGATGGCGTTGTTTCCAAAATGTGTGCTCGTGGCTTGGAGACTCATAAAGGTGTGGACAGCCCCGATAAAATACTGGTGCTCTCCTAACTTGATTTCGTTCGCCATTTCTCCCAGCTTTATTTATTCAATCTTTCTTCACAATTGGCTGATCAGTTTACCACAGAGAGTGGTCGGATCCGATCGAGCACATCCTGAGGGAATGGTGGTCACCAGATAATATAAAATCTAATCTCTGTTTTGTAAATGCTAGCTTTAAGTAAAAACTTGTATTCTATAGAAAACACTTTGAGTTGAATTGAAATGCTCTTCGCCGAGCAATAGTGAAAAAAGGAAACTCTCACGATTCCCTAAAATTGTACAGAAAAACCGAAAATGCTAATTATTATATACTATATTTGTATAGTTCTCTCATTTTGAAGTGAAGTGTTCATGACCATGGGGAAATTCTCGCAGTCTTCGTTATTTTAAGTTGACGAACTTTGAGCAGAATCAAATGTTTGATCGGATCATTATCGAGCAAAAAATCACACAACCTAATGATAACGCACACGACTGAGAGTTGAGAATCCCCCATTTTTTTCGTTCTTAGAGATATGAGTTATTCAAGTATACAATACTAAAGAATCCCATGCGAAGCGAACAAACAACAATAACTTGTGGCGAAATGTTTAATGCGAGACTGTTAATAACGTAAACATCAAAGAAGACATTCATTATACAGATGTATATACACAGAACAACAATATATCTGGCGAAACCAGTTCCAGTTTCGTCATTGCGAACCTTGCTAATTATTCGTACTCCTCCCCTCGATCCCATCGAAAGCGTGTGGGGGACTATTAGCGACTCAGCGCAGGGGTTTTTCAGCCAAAAGTTGCGAAAACTCAATTAGAAAAGCGTAAGAATTCGGGGACTATTGAATTTTAGATGGATCCACTCACCGAGTGAAAGTAATTTTCGGAAGACACTCAAATCAATACTGAACTAATGAAATATTGGAAGCTGGGATAGCTACCCGATAATGATAATGATTTGATTTAGCTTTGCTTTGTTTATTTGTTTATGCAAAAAGTCCACCACATAATCAGTTAATGAAACCGGTCGGGCCTCAGATAGTTTGTCTAATCGGTTTGATGCCAAATTAATGTTGAGGCTTGTCGCGTATTTATATAAGTCTGGGACCGGGGAATTATGTAATTATTTTAATGGTTGATTTATACGCATTGAATTATTAATGGTTATCAAATGGCGTAGCATTAGAATGCGTTCAAATGAAATGAATACAATTATAATTAGCCGTCTAAGCTGCCAGCTCAAACAAAAGAGTTCTCAATTGAAACGCACTTCAGTGTTTAAATAATAAACTCGTACTCGTATAAATATTTGTTTGTTGAAATCACCAAAAGTGAAATAATTTGCAGTTGACGAAAACATGAATATTAGCCGGTGGACTGGGCCTTCGCACTGTTGCCAATGACAACATAAAATAATATTAAAATGCCAACTAATGAACGTCATGTTAATTATGTAAACGCACATTCACGGGCGCAATCACGGCGGGGACCCGGACGAACTTTGTATAAATATCGCATGTTAGCCGGCCGCTCGTATTGTTATTGGCCTTTTCCATGGCTTTGCAGCCCTCTCGCAGATCCGAAAATTGAATTACGAGACCCGCGTTTGCAGTGCAAACTTTTCAATTACGAGGCCCCGGGCTAATGAACAAAGCGAACCCATTTTGCGACCAGCAACGATATCGATGCGAAACATTGCGAGTATGGTATGTCGTATGCGATATGCAATCTGAATTATTTAATTTTAATTAAAGTTTCTGCGCATAATGTATTGCCTACTTTCAGCCCGTTTGGGCTCCCCTGATGGAATGCTATGGCGGGGCCGGCATATTTTGAGGCGCCACCTGAGATGAGCTCAGAGCCCTGGAATATTCAAAAATACGAGTACGAATTCGAGTATACTCGTATGCACATTGACAAACATTTTACATTTATTTTATTGCCCAACATAAATTGCAGTGAACAAAAGAGCCCTACAATATGGCTCTACAAAGTTCGACAAAGGCGAATGGGGCTCCCGACCACCGGCCCACAACTGTTGCAATCGTACGGACCGAAAGCGACTCTGTGGCAAGCCGCCAGCAGACGACGGCCCGTCCCAGACCCTCTTCCTCTTGAATATTGCAAAACTGCACCACAGGGGTTCATCGTCCTTGTGCAAATTGGTCTCGGGGTTTATTGCATGGTCCAGACTCCCGACTATCACAGAGGCCACGGGCGCGGACGAGGGCCAAAGTACCAAAGAACCAAGGAACCAAGCCAGATGCTGCTCCTGCAACTGTTTCCGCTGGCAATAAAACTGCACTTTGAGGCGGAGGCCAAGGAGTTTGCTTAAGATTTCAATTTTCTATCTCCTTCGCCCTATGGAGAATGGTGTGCAACAATTTGCAATAGTAAAACTATACTTAATGATAAATGTTTGCGAGGGACACATAAAGCTCAAGCAGAGAGGAGTCTGTCCGGGCCATTTAAAAGATTTATATGGCCATGAGTGGCATCAAAGTCTTCGGTTCTCGTATGCATCTGCCGCTTCCTAATAGGCCATTAATTCTGATGAAAACTTCCCAAGCCTTCCGATTCACAACCGACGGAGTGAGGAAAGTTCTCCGCCTCTGATTCCCCCTTAGAATTCTTCCCCATAGTTGACAGCTGACAGAGGGGAAATGTGTTCAATCGTGACTGCCACCGCGAGACTTTTGGGACGTGATTTCCCCTATTAACAGTTTTCACCCGGATTTCCATCCAACTTTTAATGTGTGCTGCTCAGAAGTCGCACAAACTTATGAAAGATTGCAAACCACTACTTTTTGACAGGCAGGGAAACTCTGCAATGATAAAGTGGTCCTTCCTTCCCGTGAAATGAAAGAGCAAGTGTCTTCATGTCAAGCAGCGACTCTGCTCAGGTTTTTGCCAACTGGAACCAAGCACTCGGTTTATCCTTCGCTCTGAGACCACGCTCTCAGTAAATACGAATTGAAAGGGTAATGGAATACTCTACTGCTTAGTTTCGGTATTTGCCTATTGATTGCTTTTGTACTTGTACTATAATTTCTGCTCAATGACTACAGACACGCTTTATTTCTTTGAATCTCCGACGTATATGTAATGTTCTCAGATTACACATTCCGAAACTGACTAAGTTTTGAGACCGTTTTTATTTGAATTGATAGCACAGACCGAATACGCCCTAACACAATAGTACACATGTTTTTCCTTATTGAAACCGCTTTCAACACCTTTATTCAACACTTCTTTAACACTTTTGAAATTAGGGCAAATTGAGTAGGCAGCTACGGCTAATTAGCCGTGGTAGCCGCCACCACTGCCGGCAGATGCTGTGGCCGAGGCTGCTGAAGAGGCGCTTGAGTGAGCTCCTCCTCCATAGCCTCCATGCTTGCCTCCAGCGCCACCGAGGCCGCCATGGCCGCCATGGCCTCCACCTCCGTATCCGCCTCCACCTCCGCCGCCGTATCCGCCTCCTTTTCCAACACCATTCCCTCCAGTAAAGCCTCCAGCGAAGGGGCCACCAAGACCGGCGCCATGACTGTGACCTCCGCCGATCCCTGGTCCATGTCCAATTCCGATTCCGCCACCTCCAAAACCTATGTCTCCTCCAAAATGACCACCTCCGAAGCCACCGCCGGGTTTGCCTGATCCGTGTCCTCCAAGCAGTCCACCACCGGATCCAGCAGAGGCAGAGCCTGAACTGCCGCCGGCTCCAAAGCCTCCTCCGCTCGATCCTCCACCTGCGCCACCAGATCCATGTCCGCCACTGCCTCCAAGTCCACCTCCTAGTCCGTGACCTCCTCCGCCACCATTAAATCCGCCGGAACCACCGAGGTCTCCTCCAAAATTACCACCTCCGAAGCCACCGCCGGGCTTTCCAGATCCGTGTCCTCCAAACAGTCCACCACCTGATCCAGCAGAGGCAGAGCCGGAACTACCGCCGGCTCCAAAGCCTCCTCCGATCGATCCTCCTCCTGCGCCACCAGATCCATGGCCGCCACTTCCTCCAAGTCCACCTCCTAGTCCCTGACCTCCTCCGCCTCCAATAAATCCGCCTCCGCCTCCGGCCCCATGTGCACCTCCGGATCCATGAGCACCGCCACCTCCAATTAATCCTTCTCCACCGCTGCTTCCATGAGCACCTGAGGATGCGCCAGATCCTCCAAATCCACCCCCTCCGGTCTCGCCTCCGCCATGCTGAGCGCCACTTCCAAACGGACCTCCTTGGCCGCCACCGCCAAATCCTGGGCCAGAAAGTCCACCGTCAAAGCCACCGCCAGATCCAAGTCCTGGTCCAGGCCCGCCTCCAAATTTGCCGCCACCATCGCCGCCCGCTATAGATCCAGCCGAGGCAGATGCCGATGCCGAAGACGACGCATGACCGCCACCACCGCCACCGCCGCCGCCGCCGCCGTAGCCACCGCCGTACCCGGCCGAGGCCAGAGCCACGCAAACACTCAACACTATAAACAGTCTCATCGGAACCTTTGCCTCCAACTAACTAACGACGTCCCACGGAAAGGTATGGGCTTTTATTAGATTCCACATAGCAAAAAAGTACAAATAATAACGAAATAAACACAAATCTCACAGAGCGCGAAAAAAGAACAGCACATACTCGTATGCACATATACATATACTCGTATGTACGAGTATGCGGAGTCCCAGTCACGTTCCGAACACAGAGATCCTAGGGTCAGGCCAACAAAAGCTGAAATAATTAACTCTCGGAGAGAACAATAACGAGTTCCAATACACAGACATTTATCATCATTTGAATAATGTCGATTGTCTAGAAATACTAGAAATTGCACTAAAGAGCATCGAATCCCGTTCAATGTTCTGACTGCGGGATGCCACGATCAGCCATCGAATTTTGGCGATTGTAGGCCACCTGATCGATGATATTTTATATTCGCAAACCCTAAGGAGACTGAATCTTTCGATACCGAATTAGTCACCTAAGTACACATTAGGCTTTGCCTTCAACTATTGGGGTCTTAATCAAAAAAAGAGTATACAAGCCACATTGTGTACATCTAATTGTGGACTCCAGTTATATTCTACATATAAACCAATTTCATCGCCACTTGCTTAGGAAATACCTAGCTGTACTGACTCTTGGCTCGACTAAGATTAGATTGATTTGTATTTAAATGATATGCGGAGGTGTTCGATGGTTACGACAATGACCCTAAAGGTCTACGTCATTCAATCTGTATAGATTAAAATACAATCGTATTACAATCATCAGTCATGTAACAAAAATACATATGCCTAATAAACAGATTCAAGATTACAAAAGCGAAATTTTTATTATACAAGTTAGTATGGACGGTACTCAGACGATCTCGCCAAAGGCTTCCAAACAATTTTGCAATAATTCCTAAGGGCGGTATGGATAATCCGTTGAATTTGGCTTCACAGACGATTTCAACAATTACATATACATATACAACAATTACAGTCCTCACTAAGAAGGAAAGCTTTTTCTAGTCGAAGCTGTAAGGAGGAACGTCTTCCAATTTTATTTAAAAAATATAGAACAAAATCTACAGGTAAAAAACAAGCTTTTTGGAATGCAATTCTCAAATTAAATCATGAAGATTCTGGACAAATTCTTTGTTTTGATATAACAGCAAGCACAGGTCGATGTAACGGCACGTGTTTATAATTAGATCGAAAATTTGAATAAGATTTGCTATATTTTTCCTGACGCCATTACGTCTATGAGCTTGTACTAAAATGCTAACGGAAACTTGGAAAAATCTGGACCTTTCAACAAAATACAACGCGGGCTAAAAAATGTGGAAACGCTCTTTAACCGTTCTAAATGTGAGGACTGCTTGGAGTTTTTTTAAGCGAAACTGAAAGAAAATGATGCAAGAGTGTACGACCTGTCCTATTACTGTATCGTCCACTGTTCCATTGCTTAGGAAACGGTAGGGATCGAGGATCAAAGGGGACAAGATGAAGAACTCGATGTCTGCTTAATTGCGTCGCAGACAATAATTTTCTTAGGGGGATTGTTTGGCAATACTCGAAGAGTAGTTTATATATATGTTGCAATTTGAAACAGATAAGAAATATACTATAAACACGTCATGTTTATAGCAAGAACTTAATTACTAATAAAGAGTGAATGAAAAAGTGCTGATCATTTATAATAGAACAAAAGAATGAAAACAATATTTTTTAAGTCTGGATCTACAGACAGTCGGAAGAACGAATAAGGACGAGTCGACGATTGATGCTGCAATGCTTTTGAAATGAAGGTAAAAATTTGTCAAAAACGATATCATTTTTGTTTCCGACTCTATAAACTCTATATATATTCTGGATTAGCATCAATAGCCGAGTCGATTGAGCCATGTCTGACTTGAGCTTCAGACTTGAGCGACCCGACTTTGTGAGTATTTTGTTGTCTAAACTTTTTGCCACGCCCAGCTGGCATATTGACCACTACTCTAATACTACATTGCCTCACAACGTTTAGGTTGAGTTTCTAGTAACGATATCAAAGGCACGTTCTTATTGAGGCCATGCGGCTTTCAATAAAGGTAAATTTTATTTCGTTAAGGTAAAATTAAAGTAATATTTAGAAATAGTAAAATTTAAGTCTTGAATTATTATCTGAGACTAACCATAGAGAAAGCCGCCAACATGGTTGATGGTGCCTCCAATGTGGCCACCTCCGAATTCCATTCCTGCGCTGGCAGCATTATGATCGAGATTTCCTCCAGCTCCAAAGGCATGTCCGCCAAGAGTGACGCCCCCGCTGTGGCTTCCAAAAAGCCCGGATCCAGTATGACTGCCTCCAAAGGAAAGGGAGCCTGAGCCGCCGTGGCTTTCAAGTGATGCACCTCCGGCGCCGACAGACGACAATGCTGAAGCGCCAGCTCCAAGAAAACCGTTGGCAACTCCATGCAAAAGTGAGGCAGCGGCCTCATGTGCTCCACTACCCCCAACAGAGCCAGCTGATAGGACAGAGCCAGTTCCGATACCATGACCAGCTCCAAAAGCACCGATGCTCAACTGCGCGGTGTTCGTCTTGTGCGACCCAGATGTGTGAGATCCCAGTGAGGTTAGCCCTGAGCCTGAGGCTCCAGTGCCCGCAAGACCGCTTACCATCTTATTGAATGAAAGTGCACCGAGGGATGCAGCAGCTGAATCTGAAGAATGTAGAGCCGAGGCTCCAGCTCCAGTGGCGCCTAATAATCCATGTGCCTCAATTCCAAAAACAGAGCCAGATGATCCATGTCCAGATCCAGAAGCTTCGACGCTCGTGTGTCCGGAACTCATGCTATGGGATCCAGAACTCTGTGACGACGAGTATGAACTTGATCCACTAGCCTCAGACGATCCGATAGCAGCAATACCGCCGCCGAAATTCCCTGTGTTTTGAGCACCGAAAGAGGCAGCGGACGAACCTGCGGATTGAAGAGCTGAAGCACCTGCTCCGGCCGCACCTATCAAATGGTTTGCCACCATGTGGGATCCACCTCCTACAACAGAGCCGGAAGATGATCCCTGTGCGAATCCAGCATCTCCAGAAGTACCGATGCCAAGCTGTCCGTTACTTATCTTTCCAGATCCAGAGGCTACGACGCTCGTCTGTCCGCTACTCATGCTATGGGATCCAGAACTCTGAGACGACGAGTATGAACTTGATCCACTAGCCTCAGACGATCCGATAGAAGCAATACCGCCGCCGAAATTCCCTGTGTTTTGAGCACCGAAAGAGGCAGCGGACGAACCTGCGGATTGAAGAGCTGAAGCACCTGCTCCGGCCGCACCTATCAAATGGTTTGCCACCATGTGGGATCCACCTCCTACAACAGAGCCGGAAGATGATCCATGTGCGAATCCAGCATCTCCAGAAGCACCGATGCCAAGCTGTCCGGTACTTATCTTTCCAGATCCAGAGGCTACGACGCTCGTCTGTCCGCTACTCATACTATGGGATCCAGAACTCTGAGACGACGAGTATGAACTTGATCCACTAGCCTCAGACGATCCGATAGAAGCAATACCGCCGCCGAAATTCCCTGTGTTTTGAGCAGCGAAAGAGGCAGCGGACGAACCTGCGGATTGAAGAGCTGAAATACCTGCTCCGGCCGCACCTATCAAATGGTTTGCCACCATGTGGGATCCACCTCCTACAACAGAGCCGATAGACGATGATCCCTGTGCGAATCCAGCATCTCCAGAAGCACCGATGCCAAGCTGTCCGGTACTTATCTTTCCAGATCCAGAGGCTACGACGCTCGTCTGTCCGCTACTCATGCTATGGGATCCAGAACTCTGAGACGACGAGTATGAACTTGATCCACTAGCTTCGGATGCTCCAATTGCAGCAAGACCGCCGCCGAAATTCCCTGTGTTTTGAGCACCGAAAGAGGCAGACGAACCAGCGGAATGAAGAGCTAAATCACCTGCTCCGGCGCCACCTATTAAATGGTTTGCTGAGAATCCATGTGCTAATCCAATATCTCCAGAAGCACCGATGCCAAGGTGTCCGGCATTTATCTTTCCAGATCCAGCGATAGCAGATAAAGCAGCTCCATGATGTCCAGAAGCTCCTATTTCAGCAAGACTGCTGCCAAAATTCTGAATTTTTTGAGCTGCGAGAGAGGCAGAAGAAGAACCTGTGGAATGAAGAGCAGACGCACCTGCTCCGGCCGCACCTATTAAATGGTTTGCTGAGAATCCATGTGCTAATCCAATATCTCCAGAAGCACCGATGCCAAGGTGTCCGGCATTTATCTTTCCAGCTCCAGCGATAGCAGATAAATCAGCCCCATGAGCTCCAGAATTTGCGCTTTGAAATCCAGAATTATGTGATGAAGAGCTAGAACCACTATATGAATTTCCAGATACGGCAGAAGAACCTGCAGAATGTAGAGCTCCAGCTGCAGCAGCTCCCAAGATTCCGTGACCATTGCTCACGCCTAATCCGTGGGTCGAGACACCATGGCTGAGGAGACCACTTCCCATTGAGAGTCCAAGGCCACCACTTAGGCCAGTACTATGTCCCAGGCCCAGACTGATACTGCCACCGCCCAAGCCAAATCCGGCCGAGGCCAGAGAGACGCAACAAACACTCAGCACTGCACGAAATCCCTCGAGAGCCATTGCCACTAAGTCACTGTCTAGGTCCCGTGGAAACGGCGACCTTTTATATCGACGAAAATGCCCAGCCTAGCCTAGAAGCCACTGCAATAACTAACTATAAAACCTCAGTGACGTTTTCAATATTTAATGCACGAAGTGAAGGAAAAACGAGTTTCAATACATACATATATCATCTATAAGGTGGAGGGGGGGGCTCACCCTATTCTAAAAATATAACACGAGCTGAGGACAAATCTTTCTTAAGTCCAAACTATAGTTTAGAGAAAGACATTTTTCGAAGAATACGTGCTGTTGTATACACTTGCAGAGATTTTGGGTAGAAGAAAGGTGCATTTCTGACCGTATAGTAGTAGCATATAGAAATCAAGGAGAAGAACTAGATCTAACATAATAGCTTGCTTTACAACATATTGCGTATATCCTGAGATTTTTCAAGCCATTCTCTTTCAAATCGTCGTAGAATATTCCTTAAAATGGAGAGTATGAACCAAGTTACTTCAAAGTAATTTATATGAACAGGTTTGGCTGCATGTACATAGATGTGTGTGTGCTTAAATATCCTATGGGGATAGCTGACAGTACTCCTGGCCATGAGGATGGGTTGATGCTCAATAACTGGTTATCCTCTAACTACTCTATGTACTGTGAGTTATATTTAATGAGTACCGAAAGGCTATATAAGAGAGGTTCTGATTCCAAATTTGTGCCAAAAATAATTTACTCCAAAATGAATTCATGTTGACATATTAAGAATTCCCCATTCCCACAGCATAAGTATAACAAATGTAAAATGAAGGGAAGGGAATTTGAGTCTCGGATTTGTGGCATTTTTTCTGATTGGCTATTTTTAGACTTTAATGAACCAAGCCAAATCATGAATTTAAAACAACGATAGTGAGCACAAGGGATCTCTTGTCGCACCACTCTTGTAACATTAGCGCTAAGTATTTGCTATTAATAACTGCAGCACTACAATATCTACCATTCTCAAGTCCTTGCATAGATACACATTTATCCAACAAGAGAACTGGCTATTGAAGGTTTAAATTTAGGTCTGCACTTAAGCACAGATTTTTGCTTAACTTGGCTTATTCAGGAAGAGCCCAGTGCAACAGAGTTGAACCGAACCGAAATGCAAATGCCAAGACAATGTGGCATGAAAGCATCTGAAAAGCCCAAGAAAGTAGGGGCAAAAGTGGGAAAGGCAACAACATCGCAGTGAGAGTAAGCCGTGGCCTCAGTGGCAGCTGTTGGCGGAGTGGCATGTGCATGGGAAAATGGAAAATTGTACTCGAAGGAAATCTGCTTGCAAATGCATGTATCGTGCTTCTTGCAGGGGTGGGTGGGCTGCTGCTGGAAAATCTGTTACAGCATTGTGGGCCAAAAGAAACACTTGACTTCCGTTTCCGGTCGCAGGCAAGACTTTTGCTCTCTTAACACCGACCCGACCCCCGAGCCCAGACCCCGCCCCTTGCATATTTGAAAACCCGAAATTGTATGCAAATATCTCTTCCATATTTAAAGCTAAGTCGAACAGAGGCAAATAAATAAATAAATAAATACTAAGTGTATAGGTTCCGCTCCCTCAAGATTCGCTCAGATCGCATGTAGGCCACGTCCGCGTGCTCCCCGACTGACTCGAACAGCCCGGCCTTCTCCTTGGGGATCCTCCGGCAGCTTGCCGAGCACCTGCAGCATTCGCTGATAGAGCATCTTCCGTACATCGATGGCCCAGAGGAAGTCCATGTGGTTGAACTCTTTCACGGGCACCAAGTACTTGCCTGTCACATTCCCCAGATCGTCGCACATCGACTCCACGTCGCGGGGATGGCAGAGCAAGTCGTTCGTGGAGTAGTACACAAAGGTGGGCACTGTCACCAGGCTGAGGTTGTACCGCGGCGGCTGGTGGTCCCTGTACAGAAGCATGTTTTTGTTGGAGCTGTAGCTGTAGGGGGCAAAGCGGCCGCTCTTGATGATCTGTATGAAGTGCTTCACCTGCTTGGCGGCCACTCCGGCCGGGTAATGACCCAGGATAACGGGGAACATTTTCTAAAACGTATACAGATAAAGTGAGTTTAGAGCGCTCTTTGCTTGTAGGTCTCTTTGTCTCGTATTACCCTGTTGAACTCATTCCAGTTGCGTCCTACTATCCCAAAGACAGCCTCGATGCACAGTCGCTCCGTCTCCTCGGTCATGCGGCACAGGAAACGGAACTCTCCGTTGAACATTTCTCTGATGGAGCTACCCACCAAACTCTAAATTTGTTATATTTGGAAAGGGAATTTCACTGAGATCTTATGAGGGTATGCACTGTCCTACTCACATTGAAATACAGGCTTATGGCTCGTATGTAGGGATGGTCTTCGGTCTCTTTGGCGTAGACTGCCGGCGCCAGCGCCTGCATGGAGATGACTTTCTCGTTGTATGTCGGGCGCATCGAGCACATCACGAAGAACGAGGTGCAGCCCTGGGAGTGTCCGGCGTAGTGCAGCCGCTTGAAGCCGGTGACCTTTAGCACATAATCGATCATTGCTGGCAGGTCGTACATGCCTATCTCGTGCCAGCTGAAGTCCCAGAACTTGGACTCGTCCGGGTCGAGGCTGGTATGATTCCTCGAGTAGCGATTACCGCGTGCGTTCCCCAGCCAGACGTCGTAGTTGTGGTCAGCCAGCAAATATGCTGCGGGGTACGAATGGGGGTAATCAGAGGCCCATTAATCAGAAATCCCACGCGATGCACTCACCCAGGCTCACGTTGGGGCCCATTACCACGAAACCCGCCGAGCTGTCCACAAGTCCGTGCTGGAGCAGGAAGGGCTGGGAGCCCTGACTGCGAATGCGGTGCATTGTCAGGATGTACCCGTCCTCGGTGGTCACATGATGCACTTCCGCCTCATAGCCGTACTTGGCAATTAATTTGTCCTGTTGATGAAATGTGTATGAGACAGGGCTGGCAACGATGACGAGGCCTGGTCGTTAATCTTCCTACCACACTGAGACTCGAGTCCTGCTTGATGTTCTTACGCTGCAGCTTCTCCTCGAAGGTCTCGTCCTCCACGCTCTCCTCCTCCTCCTCTTCCTCCTCCTCCTCCTCGTCTTCGTCTCCGCCTATCAACTGGGCGTGGGTCCGATTTATAAAGACGCACAGACCCAGCAGCAAAATCAGGTGCAGCTTTAGTTTTTGGCGCATCTTTTGGCTTGCGTTACGAAATCTGCTCAAGACGAAAGTGAAATCCGTGGACTCTCTCTGTCTCTGATTGGAGTCTCAACCTGAACGCTGGGCGGCGCGAACCCAACTGAAAGTCGAACCCCGAGCCGAAAACTGTCAATGGCCCAGACCGTCGGCAAACGCAAACCTCAGCGGAGGCCCTACCGATGCCGAAATACGCAATACCCAATACCCCAAAACTTTCGATCAGACATATCCAACAACAACATTGCGTACTGGTACTGTGACGTGTTACCAGGTCGTGTTTACCTTTCGATTGCGTTTTTCGGCTGGGGACAGTTAATTAAACGTGGTGCGGTGTCTTTGGGGGTATAGCTGCGGGCATTTGGGATGCGTGGGGCGTCGCAATCAGAAACGAACAATTAATCAGGTGCAGTGCAACAGTGAAGCTTCGAGTGGGTTGTACTTTCTTATCAAGAAATTCTATTAGCGTCCAATTATAATTCCAGCAAGCGACAAGTCGTAGAAGCCAGGTATTTACAACCCAAACCTCGTTGGCCAAAGCCTCCAGCCGTCGCGGCGTTGTAGGTCAAATTGAGCAGCACAAAAGGCAAGGGAAACAGATAAATTTGTTGTTTACGATCAAAAGAAAGTAAGAGTGTCGACCAGTGGACGCTTTTGGCTTTTGCCTTTTGGTATTATACTTTTATTTTGCTTTTTATGGCCAGGCAGCCGCATTACATAATTGGCATTTGGGCTGGCTGCCAAGACAAATAAACCATTTCGCTGGGTAATTATTTTTGTTATTCGTATATTGGGGCGACTCAATGACCGCCTTTGATGACCCAACTGTTCGCTATTCAATTATATATGATAATTTACCCTCGAGAAACTTTTCCATTGACTCGATTAACTTGTCGTTGACCAGAGTCTTGACCTCGGAAGAGATAAGGAAGTCGAAGTGATTGAATTTCGGAGACTCGATTCTCCTTACGCTCCTCACAGAGCTCATCATGCGGGCGTAGATCCCGTGCACTCCTTCCGGCGTGGCTATCGCATCTGTTTCTCCGAAGTACAGTATAGTCGGCACACTGATCTGGCTGAGATTGTACCGCAAGGCCTCTACTCCATTGTAGACCTGCATGTTCTGAATCGGCCCATAGTCGTAGGCGATAAAGTCTCCAGACTTCCAGATCTGCTGCAGATGCTGTATCTCCCGAGCGGAACCCCCCTGCAGCAGGTATTCATAGTTGAAGGCATCCAGGAGCTGATAAATACAAAGGTATGACATGTGTATTACCGGCCTTATTTCAGTGTCAGCTATGGGGTTACCCTTTTGTTGCTTTGGGCGCTTCCTGCCAACCGTTTGGTGTAATATTCACACTGATCCTGTTTGCTCTGGCATCTTTTTCGGAAGTATCCCGGTGGAAAAATTTCAAACTTGTTCGACTTTTGACGTTTCTGAAAAAACAGTTTGTTCCGATTCTGATCTTCATCTCCCACTTTATTCATGTAACCCTTCCATAGTGAACTTTCCTCAGAAGTTCCTCTGAAAGCTGGCCGCAAATCTAATATGGCTGTTCACATACGATCCAACGATCCACAAAAGCTCAGAACAGCTGTTCTGGTGTGCTTTCCCCAGACCTATCATCCACCACAACCATTTTCAAATCAACCCAGGGGGTTATCACCAAGCAAACAGTCTATTTTTGTATCTCTCCCTCTTTCGCTATCTGTGTCTCTCTCTCTCTCTCTCTCTCTCTCTCTCTCTCTATCTCTCTCTATCTCTCTCTATCTCTCTCTCTCTAAGCAATCTCTATATTTCTCTACCAGAGTCTGGGTCAGGCGAAGTCAATCTATTATCAGCTGCTCTAGTATCAGTGCCGAGCTCTGTATCTGTCTAATTCTTTGGCTTGGTCCCAGTCTTCGCGTGATGTTCAAGCTAAGCAATCGACTAAAACAGACCTGGGTTCTGCGCCCAACCCTGGGCGGACTACGCCACGCCTCTTCGGCAGGCGAGGGAAACCGCACGGCCCTCTACGATTTCCACGTGCAGAAGGGGGGAAAAATCGTCAACTTTGGGGGCTATGCGCTGCCAGTGCAATACTCTGACCAGAGCATCATCGCCTCGCATCTGCACACCCGGAGTGTGGGCTCCATCTTCGATGTATCGCATATGCTCCAGACCTACGTGAGGGGCAAAGATGCTGCTGCCTGTCTGGAGTCTGTGTGTACGGCGGACATCTTAGGTACTCCGGAGGGTAGTGGAACCCTCACGGTTTTCACCAATGACCAAGGCGGCATTCTGGACGATCTCATTGTGAACAAGGTCAGCGAGAAGGAGCTGTATGTTGTCTCCAATGCCGCTATGAAGCAGCAGGATATGAATATAATCAGTGCGGCTGCGGTATGGCATAATTATAGAGATTTTAGGAAGAACCAATTCTACATATTTGCATTTACTTTCAGTCATCCTTCAAGTCACAGGGCAGGGACGTTTCCGTTGAGTTCCTAACACCTTCGGACCAGTCCCTGATTGCCGTACAAGGCCCGCGAGTGGCTGCGGAACTAGCCAAGCTGCTGGCTCCAACTACAGCCCTAGACCAACTCTACTTTATGCAATCCTTCGTCGGCACTTTGGCAGGCATCCCCAATGTGAGGATTACGAGATGTGGCTACACCGGGGAGGATGGAGTGGAGATATCGGTGGCTTCTGGCCACGTACAGGCCCTCACCGAAGCTCTCTTGGCTAATGGAATCCTTAAGCTGGCCGGCCTGGGAGCCAGAGATTCGCTACGGCTGGAGGCAGGTCTCTGTCTCTACGGCAGCGACATCGATGCCCAAACTACACCTGTGGAGGCAGCTTTGGCCTGGCTAGTGGCCAAAAGACGTCGAGCAGCACGCGACTTTCCAGGCGCTGATGTGGTTCTCAGCCAACTGAAAGGAGGAGTTCAGAGGCGCCGCGTGGGCCTACAAATGCTGGGAGCAAAACCTCCGCCAGCCCGCTCAGGCGTGGCCATCTTCAGTGGGGGCCAACAGGTGGGCCAGGTGACCAGTGGCTGCCCAAGTCCCAGCACTGGTCGCAACATAGCCATGGGCTATGTGTCGGAGTCGCTGAAGGCGCCTGGAAGCAGGGTGGAGCTCAAAGTGCGCGATAAGGTCTATGAGGCAGAGATTACGAAAACGCCGTTTGTCAAAGCTAATTACTACAATAAACCAAAGATATAGAGCCGGATGAAGGAACATGGAACCTGGAACCTGTGGGCGGAATGGGGCTTGGTACAGCCGAAGGGAAAGCAAAAGTGTATGTTCGATGCGAAACCATCGAGACAGGAGAGGGCATAACAAGATTATTACAGCGTCCGCTAATTACCTTGACAAACTTCATGAGGCTGCGCACCTGTGCGGAGTCGAAACGCACCTGTCCATGCAGCCGGGCGAGGGGCGCCAGAGCCTGCATGAGCTGGATGCGTTGATTGAAGCGCGGATGCATCGAGCAGAGCACCAGGAACGCATTGAAGGCCTGCATATCGAACGGAGGATGAAGCCATGTTTAGGGAAGGGCACCACCGGACAAACTCCGCTCACCTGCGAGTGTCCAATTAGCAGCACTTGGCGCGGTGGCTCCTCTTTATCCGCTCCGCTGGACTCCTGCTCGCCGCCAGTGACCTCTGCCATGCGGTCAATTATGGCGGGCAAGTCGTAGGTGCCATGCTCGTGGAAGCTGAAGCGCCAAAAATCTGCCATGACATCGGTCAGTTCGAGGTGACGGCGCCCGTATGGTGAGGCCCCCCGCAGATTCGCCAGCCACACGTCGTACTGGAGCTGGTGCAGCTGAAAAGCTGCCCAATGCTTAGTTGGATACCCAGGCACAAGGGGCGTACTCGCTCACCCAAACTCTTGTCGGGCCCTAGGCAGACCCAGCCCAGCGAGGATCCCAGCAGTCCATGGACCAGCAGCACAGTGCGTGCCCCGGGCCGCGGCAGTCGTTGCAGCTGTAGCTGATAGCCATCCGCGGTAGTCACATTATACAGTTCATGGCTTACGTTGTGGGCCTCCAGCCAGTCGAGCTACATGGGAATTAAGCAGAGGAGACAGTGGCAATGTCGCTGAGGAATGGGTCCTGGTACTTACCGTCGTCCACCTGTAATGCGGTTCCGATTGGCTAGCGGTGTTTATTTGAACGCAGGTGATGAACATCACGGGGGCGACAATGATCCAGCCTATCTCCGTCATTTGGTTTGCTCAACTGACTTTCGCGGGGCCCCGACCTTGCTGCTGGCACTAATTGCGGGGCTCTCGATCATCTTTCCACTTGGCTTCAGTCCACTGGCCAACAAGAGATTGAAATCGGCTTGCCGAATGTACAGTCCGTTCTCATTCAACAATCACCAAACATACTTCAGTATTCTAGGCAGAAACTTCCGGTAGTAGAAAATTGGTCTTTAGAATTGCAGATACCCCAAGGATTTGCTTAAGAAATTTATAGAAAACTCTAGCTAAATGGCATCCGAAATGCTAATAACTGTAAGGATTCGATGATTATTATTCGGTTTGTATTTCTTTCCTGTAGGTAACCAATTTCCGTCAGGAGATTGGAGTATGTATGTAAATAACTGTCCAAAAACAAGCTATGGTACAGGGTACTATTGCACTCCAGCGTTCCATGAGTAATAATGTTGTCTATTAGCATACCCGAGGTATCGGGGAGTTGCCTCCCAATGAGTGCCGCAATTAAATAAAGCTTACCAAAAGCTTAAATAACACAGATTGAATTATGCCAGCGCACCCACATACCTATTTGTACCCGTGTAGCCTTGCCCGTATCCGAACACATCGGCATCCGCATGGAGTCGCTCACACTTGAATATATACATACAATCCTCGTTGGTCATATCATCCAGTCGTATAAAGAGAAAACTGCCAAAAGGAAAGGCAACATTTTCGGGTATTCCGACTACAAGATACCTACTGCCTCAAAGTCACATCAACAATGGAACAATAAGGCATATTTTTAGATACAGATGCAGGTGCATCTTCTTTTCATTACTGCGGCTGAATCTTTGTACTATACATATGTATTTCGAGTCTACTCCCATATGCCCCAGTGTACCTACACTCGGAATATACCCGGTACAAAAATCAACTCAGAACGAGTGGCAATTGCAATTCAGAAGCAGGACTCCGTCTGCTCTGCGGTAGGGCTGCGCCCCACCAATTGCATATTTACTTATCTTCGGGCGATAACAATTGACTGCCGTGGAGTGGCAGTCGGTAAGAAACAAAAATCCCAGCGGACTTTATTAAAATTATCCAAAAACCGAGCAAAAAAGCGCCAATGGAGATGAATAAAATGCGAATGAATCCCACAAGGGTCAGAAGAAATCGCCAAATGAAATGATACAAAATGGTGAAGGGAAAAACACCGGTTGGACTGGAGTGGAAAGGCGTGGAGTTGCTGTGGCTGTGGCAGCAAAGCAGACCCCATGCCCACTGGACGCGAGACGGCACAAAGGGATGGCAGCAGCATATGTCCAGCCGGACTCTCCGGCCGTGTGCAGTCAACAGGATGCGAAAGTGCAGTCGATTAACGGAAGCGCAGAAAGGGTGCGAGATCCTTCCTCGCCCCAGACCTCGGACCGAGCATGTCTGCCTGGCTGCGGGGCTGCCCTGGGGTGGGCGTGTCATGTCGGCGCATGCATATGTATTTTTATTAAATTTAATAAAGCTGCAATTATGCAATTTACAATTTACTTTTGTGGCATTTGTCACGCCCGCGTCGGAGTCAAAGCGAAATCCAGAGAGTTGGAAATTAATTTGGCTGCGGTTGCACCAGCGAGAGGCACGAGGAGATTTAAATAAAAAACTTCCACCAGACATTTATGGAGTGAGTGTCCGAATGAGATTCCACTGGGGGGAACGATTTTCCTTTAAAGGAGTTACATATTTTTAAATGTTTGCTCTCAGAGATCCTCAGAGATGGTCAACCACAACTCGTTATTATATTGGATACATTGCATTGGATCAGCTTCAATTCTTAATCAGCATTAAGCTAATATTTTACTCAAGATAAACTTCATTGGAGTTTCTCGAAATTTCTGTAACTCCAACTTCTGTAATACCACACTCTCCAAATCACATTTGCGCCCTGAAGTTCAAGCCATAAAATCTGCCCAAATTATACGTTTTTATCAGGCATAATGATATTTTGCACGCCTCGTAAAACATGAGCCATAAACAGAGAAATCAAGATAAATCAGCACACATCAATTGACATTTTTGGCATTCAACAAAAAGGTGAATAAAGGAGAGAGCCAACAAAGGGGCCACGACGACAAATTCGACAGCGATTCCGATGCTAAGCGTTCGATAGAAAAATCATTACTTTGAGTAAATAACATCGAGGTAAACAATTTTACGGGAAAACAAGAAAAGCCAGACAACAAGACTCACAAAATGAAAATAGTAATGAAAATGGTGGCAAGAAAAAGTCAATCAATCGAGCTTGTTGTTGCAGGAAATTGTCAAAAATATTGAGAGGCAGTCGGAGAGGCAGTGAATGAAAGGAACCCACACCGAGCCGAGGCACAGACCCCGGCCTGGAGACACTTTGTATTATTAAATGGCAGACAGACAAACCGAAAGGTGCCGAGGGTGACAATGGCCATGACGACTATGGCGCCCTCCGTTTCCGCCTTACTTTTCTTTCGCGGGGCCATGTGCCATGTGCCATGTGGCAGGCGGCATGCGGCATGTGGCATGAGGCAGGTGAAGCACAAACAAAACCGCACACGAAATCAATGTAATTGACGAACTGACTGGGCGAGTGAGTGAAAGAATCGTGTCGCTTATTGTGGCAACAGCTCGACAGGGAAGCTCCCCTCGAGCGCGGCTTTTGTTTGTCTTTCAACTCGATTGCACGGCAGTTTTCTGCGGCTCTTCCTTTTCCTGTTCCTTTTCCTCCGTGCGATTTCATTCTTTATTCTTATTTTTCCCATGCCTGAATGTGAATTGCTTCTGAAATGGTTCCGTGCCAGTTCTGTTGACAGTAAAAGCCGCTTAATGATTTCATTTTGTTAGTAAATAAGATTTCTGTTCGTGGGGTAGGTTCGGTTGCAGAAAGGTACACTCCCGGAAATGGTATTCGAACATGAAAATAAATGTTTTAAAAACAAACAAATATGAGGCAGTAGAACATTTCGAAAGAGGGCTTGCAGACGGCTTCAGGCCAAGGGTTCATTCCATTACATGCAACACTCATTAGATCTTCTGAATGAATATAATTTGGGTAACATGTGGCATCTTAATTGATAGTTTCTGGGAATCAAAATCGCAATAAATAGGCACAGAAAACAAACATGTATTCCTTGGTTTTTTAATTCCTTCTTTGGTTTGCAAAAACCACCCCACGGGATCCAGCTCGGACCATTTAAGTCCGGGTAAGCTCTAAACAAATCATGGCTCAGAATAAACACAACTTGAGTCTCCATTAGCTATTTCACGAGCATTTCGTGTGCCAAACTGACTTCCGAATTATGTGCGCCTTTTAAATAAACACAACGGGAATTTCTCAGCGAAACTAGAAGAAAGTTTTTAAATTTCCACCTTTCCGCGGCCCAACCGAGAAGTGTTTACTGGCCTACCAGCAGCAGCAGCACAGCAGCAGCAAGAAGGGCAAAGTTTTCGCATTTTTGTTTAACATTTTCCAAATGCCTTTTTATTTTGTTTTTTTCTGCTATGCATAATGGAATTAGTTAAATTTCGCTTTGCAGAAAAACTTTCGCTGAACTTGCGCCAAAAAGTTTGCTTCCTGGTACCCCCTTTTCGGGAATGTTATGCGTTTCTGATGACGTTGTAGAACCGTTTCCGTTGTGGAGCTTGCAATGGAAACTTTTTTACTTAGAACAACATTGCCCGACACTCGCTCGAATTTTAATTAAAATATTTATGAATTTGTCTTTCACGGACCAAATTGACAAGAAGCGAAGGCCGAAACGTGCCCCAGCACGTCTTGATTGGGCGTCCGAGAGCGAGAGCTGGTCGGAACGGTGATGGTAATTGCAACTAAAAGACGACTGTCCAATTAAGACTGCGAAATCTCTGAACGAGCGAGCATAGGCATTTCCGAATAATAACAATTTATTTGCTGTTATTGTCTGGCTGATACGAGGAACGTGTTTCTAAATGCTCTCAGTCGTATAGATGTTTCATTATGATATCATTTTAGTGCTCGCAGAGGAACTACATATACTGAGAAGTAATCACGCCCCTGCCACGTCACTCTAGAAATAACCATCTACTACGTACATTGTACACATATGTTAATCCGAGGAAAACCCCCAATTAGCAATAAAGTTCAAGACAATTGCGAGTTCTTATTTCACACAAAAACCAGCTATTATTTACGTTTATTTGCATATTTATCAAAGTCTGACTAACGAATAGTAATTATGGACTTGTAATACCCTTGCGAAGGGTATAACCATTTTTAGCAGATGTTTACCCCAAATATTTTCTTTATCGCGATCATCTTGCTGGCTATTCAGGCTTTACTTACTTTGATGTTCAGATATTCTTAGGAGCATTGCATCAGCAAGGGTATCTAAAGCGTTGGGCCCGAAGCTGGCATGGCTCTCCTCATTTGGTTGTTTCGTGTTCATTACCTGGCGTTTATTGCCAATCCGGGTTCTATAACCGGTATCGTTGGAAGGGAAAAAAGTATACCTGAAGTTACCCAACAGAATTCAGCTTTGAATTGAGTAATTAACAAATTTGTATTGTGATCGATTGGAAAACAACACTGGGCTCCGAAGAAATGTTTTTAATAGAGGAGTTCACCCAAATTTGCTCTCTAGCTAGTCGTTGGTTATGCAACCTCCTTAACGAGGGTTTGTCCAATCCAATAGCATTAATAGAAGCAGCACACATTTGAATCTACGGTCTCAACGTACGAGTAAGTACTGAACATATTGCAAAGCAATTTGCATTTCTTTATGGCCCTCACAATACCTTCCCACCAACATACGAGCACTCGCAGACCCACTCCAATACCCTTCGCAGTTCACGCAACTGCAAACAGCTAGCAACTTTGCTCAGTTGCCTGCTTTATGTCTTTTCATTATTGATGGCTTAATTCCGGTTGATTTATTGAGGCCACAAACAACCGGTCAGACGGCTCAGTCGCTCGGTGAGCCATGGCCCAGACTCCGGCCAGGACCCAGCCAGGATGCCATTTTGTATGCACACGTACCGGGCGGAACCGCAGACCCGCATCTGTGCCAGTGGAGAGAACGTGTTTAATAAACAAGACAAGCTAATATGCCGCAAAAAATGTTGGTTCCAACAGTGAGACAATTAAGCGAAGTAGACCTGAAAGCCTTCATCGTTTGGGAATGTATTCGAAACTATCGCAGACCGAGCAACATTTGTGAAAGGTAACATCTGAACCTGTTAATGAACTGAAGGGAAGCTCCCGATGGCCGGCACTCATTCTATCCTCCATTGATCCATTCAAAAGGATGAAAAACGGGCTGCACATAGAGACTTGAAAAATGCACAGCAGCTCCAAGAGAATTTGCAACAGAATCGAATCCAAACTCGATTTGCGCACGGTAATTAAAATTTAATCATTGGACATTAGTGCTCGTTCTTACACACAGATGCACCCGTACCGTCGGACCCCTCCAGGGTGGTTGTCAAGAGCAATTTAGCGAGCGGGAAGGACTGGGAGGGGACTAGACCGAATGAATAGAGCTACGTACATATGCACACGGATGAGTGAGAGTTCGGTAGTCGGTGGCCAGTGAAATGCGCTCTTTTGAGGTTTGGCCACGTACACGTATCTGTACCTGTATCTGTATCTGTATCTGCATTCAACGGCACTTTTGTGCTGCGTACTTTCAGGCATGTAAATGCGCATACCTTCCCCTCTGCGAGTGTGTGCGGATAACTCTTCGATTAAGAGGCTGGGGGCGGTGGCACGCTCGCCTGCTAACTGTTTGTTTTGTTGCCAAGGTATTTAAGTCGGTGCAGCTTTCGGAGCGGTTCTGTTTCGCTCCGCTTCGGGGCTTTTAATAGATTTCTGCTAATGACATGCAATTAATTTTGTGGTTTTTAAACCAGAAGCATAAACGTTGGGGAAAAAACGGACCCACATGCGCATCATCAAAGGATTGGGAGTTCAATCAGTTGGATTCCATTAGCGGGAATTCGAACCGAAGTAAATAGGCACACCATAATTGTAAATTTATTGAACTGCCACACATTTTTGTACACAAATAATTTGTGGGTAACCTCTTCTGGGTAAACTCAGGTTTCTTTTTACTTGTATCATACATGTTCCATATCATTCATTTGCTGATCGTGTGCATTAATTATTGATTTCAATCACGACTCAACCATACCATATCTTATCCTTCTACGATACTCCAGACACATATTGGCATTCAATCGCATGCATCAAGAAAAAGCCCTGTTCTCTCCCAGGCGATGCAGGAACAGCCAACCCTTTGGCCTCCGGCCCATCTGCCATCTATCCCGAACTTTTATCTAACAACAAAGGCCGCACATAGAATACACAATGTTGGTCCTTCTGCCGGGAGCAGTGACCCATGGCCATGGCCATGGCCAAGAGGGAGGTGGCCGTGGTCGTTTCCGACAGTAAAAGGGCCTTGGATGGCAATTAACTTTATAACATTTGCATGGCCCATGTGCACCGTGCTCGCACTGTCCGTTGTGGCGGGTAATGCACGCCAGTTGATTAATTGGAAATTGCGGTTAATGGACGGCCAGATCGGAGTCGGCCTGGGAATCGACAATGGAGAAGATGACAATGAGCTGGCTAAAAGTTGCTCCGACCAGGAGTGGAGTCTAGACTTTTAATTAGAGCGGCCATCTGAGCCTAGAAGAGTGCACCACTCGCACTCGGGGCGTGCTCGCATGAGAAAGTTTTCTGCGGAAACTTTGTCACTTGTTATTGAATTTTTGAATTTCTTCTTTTAGGCCACCCGAAAGTTGACAGATTTGCAGCGGAAAATTAACAAGTTCCGTGCTGGGAACATATTTCTCTTTTTTCTGCCAAGAAGCTGGGAAATAAACTTCATCCTGCGGCAAATCGAGTTGAGAAGTCGACGCAAGTAGAAGTATGCAATGCTAAAAATGTGCTAAAAACTATGTACACGGAAGAGCTGTTGAGTTCCCTGCCTGCCTTTTCGGCAGCAGCTGTTTCCCGTTTCCCGGAGAGGCCACGGAAACTTAAAAAGTCGTAGACGTCGCCGACAGTCTTGTGCTACGGCATTTTTATGTTCTTATGGGCAGGGTGGGGTTCAGCTCCTTCAGTTCTGGCCCGGATCGTTCAACAGCCCAGCAACGGTGTTTGTTGGCAAGTTTCACCGATGAGAACTTCCAGTTGTTTGCGCAGCAGACGCATAACTCTGGGACTATTGCGGTTAACTCCAAGGAGCGGCTCGAGGTGCTTCTGAAATGTTTATGAAATGTATCTAGTTAAGAAAATTTCAACCAATTCGGCTAGCCTTTAATCACCTTTAGTAACCCTTCGGCACCTTGGACGCTATATAATACTGTGCTCAGATATGGTCCGATCCACCCTGCTCCCACAAGATATCTGCCCATTGATACACATATGTCACATGTTCGCAAGCTTCTACATCCTTGGCTGTGAAATTCTATTCGCTGTTTTTAGGGCAATCATCACCTATTCTGCGGGATAATCAATCGATTTAAATTCCCCGCATGCCCAGGCCGATGGGCAGGACACAGCTGCCGATGTGCCCCGAGCCAATTATCATCTCTGATTTGAAAGCCCAGCCATCGGATGAAATTTTTATAAAACACATAAACACCAATTGGTTGGCCCCGAGCCTGGACGGGCGGCCCCAACTGACCCCAATAAATTCGAGCAGCCCAGAGTTCACATGGGTGGCGACCCTTTCGGGGCCTTAAAGCGCCTGTTGATTTATGCAAAAGGGGATTAGTAGGGTCATCAGAATGGGCCCATGCTCAGACTCATACCCCAAAACCACACAACATTGTAAGTATTTTCAAGTTCTTTCCCCAACTCGTAATGTCCTCCAGTCGTTTACATTTTTAAGCCCGACTTCGAGCATGTTCTGGGCCGGCACAAAACAAGACAAATGACCTAATTTCGCCAGCAGAAGGGACTGCCGGATAATGCCGAGCCCCCAGCGCCGTGCCGTAATATATGGCGCACAAATGGTATATTTATATGCGTTTCTTATACAGACGTAAACGCAAACATCCCGGATGGAGGTGCTCGCTGCCATCTACCATAAATCTATCGACGCATTATTACTCATACGCACAGTGTACTCTGTCTACGGTAATTTATCAAGGCATTATGGTGGCTGCTATTCTGCAAGTCTCTTTTTCCTCGTGCTTCATCCATAATGGAGGAAGATGAAACCATTCAATAGCCTTAAAGAAATTAGGGAATATTCTAAGACGAAAGTATGTATTTAAATGACGGCTTTAATTGCCTTCGTTTGTCCGTCCTCATGTAGACCGCACTTGTCCCCGCTGGAACCCATTTGAAACGGAACTACACACCGAACCACTCGAATGGAGCGGAGTATCAAGAGCCAGGTCCCGGCACTCAACTCTCGTGTGTAGCGTGACTTGGAATTTATGAACTCCATTTCGCATGTACGCCATTGTAAAGATTAATTGCCTCAGCTCCATATACGCTCCCATTCTCTTTTGGATCCTGCTACCCACGGGGCTTGTTGTTATCATTCAAACGCAGGCCCTGTTGGGAGCTTTTTTGTTGCCCAGTGACAGGGTGAAGGAGCACCAGGCAAAAGCCGCGAAGAGCAATAGAGCACAAGGAATGACATCGACATGCAGTCGAGTTATGGACTCCAGTTATGGCACCAGGCACCCCGGGCTTCAACTTTGCTGAAGCGCAAACTTTGATTCGAGGAAAAGCTTGTAGAGCACTCTCAAATCTCATTTATTCGTATCTGGAAACAACAGCTCCCAGACTGAAAATCAATGCCCGAGTATTTCTCGTACGCATTGCCTACTTTTAGGCGCGTGCCCAGGATGGTTTCATTTACCCCACTTTTGTACTCGCAGACTTCGTGAAGTTGACTGAAGTGACTGGGTTGGTAATATTGTTTCTGGCTGCATTACAACCAATTAAGAGTGCCATGGCTTTCATTCAGGACGGCTCGGCCCACGGATCACCATACTCGTAAGGAGCCACACAGGTCCCTTCCGTTCATTATTCTACTTAAACTTTGATGTGGCTCGTCTGTTTGTTGCTGCTGCGGGTTTTTACTGTATTTTAATTGGCTTTTTATTGATTCGACTGCGAAATAAATGTACTTCCGGGGCCAGTCGAGAGCGCTCCAAAGGGTTGGGAAAACTCAAGTGCGGTCTGTGGCGGAAATTATGCCAACTCTTGTTGGTTTATGGAAGTCAATGAACGGGCCTTGCTACGGGTAGAGTAACATAATTTTTCGGTCAAGAAGTTCCCCCCGATAAGGTCGCCAAGCATTACTCATGGAGATTAGTGGGGTTCAGAATTATGGCATTACGGAATTGGCCATCATTGCAGATTAGATACGGTCTGAGTGTATATAAAAAGCAGCGAAGACCTGGGAACGTAACCACTTGCTTACCATGGCTCATCTTTTGAAGACCTTCCTTTGGCTCTTCGGACTCTTCACTGCCGCATTGTCGCAGGTCAAGATCGGCTGTCCACATGGATTCACACTTATAGAGGAGAAATGCTACTACGTATCCCTAGAGAAGGTAAACTCCTACTGAAGCCTACCATACGGGCATGGAGCTAATACGATACGATCTTTCAGGAGAACTGGTTCAATGCCCATCGCCGGTGCTTCACGCTGAACTCCACTCTGGTCGTCTTCGATGATGAAAAGGACATGAAGGTGGTGACAGCCAGCTTGAAGGTCCTGGGCTTGCCCTTCTCCAACGGCTGGACGGACTCCATATGGACGGGCATCACATCGCTGGGAACCAACGGGCACTTTGTCCTGAGCCACGATGGCGGGCCTTTGGCCTATGCCCAATGGGCTCCAAATCAGCCGAACAATGCCACCGCCCACGAGTGTGTGGCCTATGCGAACAACAATGGATTCGGATACCACAATACCCAATGCGACTTCCACCAGTTCCCTTTTGTGTGTCAGGCGAAGAAGATTGAGTCGGAAAGTTATTTGTGCCTGAGGAAGAACCAGTTCGTGGAGATTGAACTGTGAATAGAATCTTTTACACGAAGAGTCTCATCAATTTATAGCCATATAGCCGATAAGAAACAAAATGTCTCTGATCTTTGGATCTCCCTACAAGATACTGTTCAAGATTAAGACAATCTTTATATCAAACGAAACACCATACTAAATTAGCCTCATACACGATGTTTGTCAAGCACAGATAAAAGATAAAAGATACCACAGATATGTGGACATTTCGGTCATATGCTGGAGTAGGCCCCGACCCAGGCGAGAGAAGATATCATAGCTTACTTACTTTTTAGAAATGTATTTATGCATTTATCGAAAGACTCACAAGTTGGGAAAAGTCCCAGCGTGAAGGGGAATATTCCCTGCGCCGCGAAGGAGTTGCTGGGGAAACAAGCTCATTAAAAGGAAATGTTTTTCCCAGCCAACTTCAAAGTCGACTTTTCAGAAAACTCTCGTTGAATAGAGAATGCAGAAAAGTTTGCTTAAGCAGGGAAGGAATGGAAGAGCTTCAGCGGAAGGCAAACAATTGTCATGCGAGCACAACGAGGGCACAGATCAAAGTCAGGCTAACAGATACAAATCTCCCTCTGCTCCTGACAAAGCTTCCTGGGAGTAGAGAACTCATTTGGAAAAATTACAATTACAATCAGAATGAAAGGCCACCAACACCTGTGTCAACAGGCCCCACGTCACACGTGTCCAGGGCCGGCAGGGCGCCTCCCCACGGACTAGCGTGCCTCGAAGCTCCGACAATCAATCATGCAGTCCGATTCTAATCCAAGTGCCAAATGCAGGCTCCACCTTCTGGCCAGCAGGCCCCAAAGGATGGCAAAGTCATTTTGGGCGGAGGCCAACAATTAATAAATTGAGCTTAATTAAATAAGAGCCAGCGTTTGCCAGGAGCTGGGACACAAGGGCTCCAAAGGCTCCAAAGGCTGCCACCTTCTGCACGGGCGAATGCAAATCATTTTAATGCGTTTAATTAAAAGGAGGAGGCAGCGCACAACTTTTCCTGCCGACTCAAAAGAAAAGCGAAAAGTTGGAAATCATATTTACCCCAACCTCCTCGGAAACGGCTGCTAATGGAGTAAAGTGAGCACACACATCAGGACCCGTGCAAATTGAGTGCTAATTAAATTAAAAACCAAGTAAAAATAGTTTCACAAAAGTCAGCCCTCCCTTGTCCCGTCCCGCTCTTGTTTCTCTCCGGAGGATGTATTCCCGACACTCCTCTGCCTCTGCCTCTGCCTCCGCTTCTGCCACTACCCCTGCCTCGGTCTTGTTCTACTTCTTTTCGTGTAAATGAGCTCGAACTTGTTGTTCAAATGGTTGATGCGCGTGTGTTCGAGCTACCAAAGCCAAGGGAGACGAGTCCCAAGTCTGAGACGGAGCACTATGGTCCGAACGACCACTTTTGTTGGCCAAAACCTAATTTTTCAAAGTCAAAACTGAAACCTGGTTTTGATCGCTCTGCATTAGAAAAAGATCGACCATTAAATCTGCGTACCAGAAATTTCCATAGATGGCGCCACATTCGCAAAATCAGCTGTCCAACCCAACTGTTTTTATAGTAAAGCACGTGAAGGGAAAAAGTGGCAAATTAATAACCACTTTAGATATCTCAAAAATTGAAAAACGCCAAGACGTGATTACATTTTTTTGATGAATCTTGATCTGTCGGGTTCTTACTACGTGTTTTGAGTTTTTAACTGTCTCTAGTAGTTCTGATGTCTTCGTAATTGAAGGTTAAAGTGAGGCCTTCAACATGTGCCAACTTGTAATGAAAACTAATTTTTGAAAAGGTGTACAAAGTGAGTCCTACCTAGTCCCACCCTGAAACCTTTTCTGTGTCGTAGATTAATAAATTCTTTTTAAAATGTATATAGTTAGATATGCCACTTTTGACCACAATTCTTGGAATTTGCATTAATAGAGCATAACCTCAAATTCGAAAATGCAGATTTGTTTGCCGAATGGAATTCAGAGAAGGGTAAAATTATCAATTATTTGAAAACGGATCTTAAGGCGACATATCATATGAAATTAATAAAGCTTTTGAAGATACCAGCAAGAAAATTTGTTACCGTTTGGCAACATACCGGAACAAATGCCGGTAAAATTCAAAGATGTTTGAACGAAAATATGTGGATTGGCCACAAGCCTTTTTTTCAATACATTTATCTTTATGTCCAAATATGCTAACTAAGTTCGTAAGGCTGTACAGGACCCAGTCGGAAAGCCGGCACATATCTCACTTAACGAGGCGTTAACCTTGCTTCTAGACAAGGATTTCGGCAATAATTTACGGAAACCTTTAAACGATTTTATTTTTATTTAAATCAAAATTTTTTTTAGTCGTGCAACGCCGTTTTCTTAAATAAAATATGCTTAATACTTTTTTTCACTATAACTAAAAATTTAAATATGCATTATTAAAAAAAGGGGCGTTGCCACACCCATTTTTTTTCTTAAATCCATTTCTTATTGATTATATATATCCAATACAAAAAACTAAATGAAAAAATCTTGTTCCGTTCGGGAGTTATTAATTTTGGCCAACAAAAGTGGTCGTTCGGACCATAGTGCGGAGCCTGCAAGTACATGTACGAGCGAACACTGCACAAAATTGTACTAATTTTATGAAATCACTAATCAACATGTTGCTCTTGGCTGGGGAAGGGGACACACTTGGAGACATCATCGTTGTTCTCAGTGAATTTACTTCTTAAGGGGGAAACTGCTCAGCCCAGATACATGACCAACTGGCAACCGGAAGACCAACGTTCTATCCTCCTATCAGTCTGCAAAGAATCCATCTCCCACCCGATCGCCGGCACACTATCTGCATTAAAGAAGGGGCTAAAGCTTCACAGAAGAGACTGTTAGAGGAAGCCACTGTGGATTGTGAACTTCTCCTCTTCTGGAAACGGCAATAGGAAGAGTCCTTTGCTCTGAGACACTGCAGTACACTGCAGACAAATGTACGACTAAAATAATGCACACTGAAATACCAGAAAACTATTTAATCGCACAATTTTCGTGCAGTGTAATTTAAGACATTCAAATCCGTAGCGAAGGAAAAACAATTGCAAATTAGATATGCGCATATGTTTGTGCAAATGGCAAACAACTTAAAAACCCAAAACAGGAAAGACAACGCAGAACAAGCCCCAACAACAGCACGAGAAGACACATCCTGCTCCAGTTGAGGCCCAGGCTCCGCCACAAGGGCAACCACGGAGCTGAAGTGATTGCAAACAGGATGAAAATGCAGCGAGCACGAAGAAAGCCAACAAACTGAAACGCTCGACCCGGAGCGGTAGGTGGCAAGGGGCAGCCGGAACGGAACGGAAACGGAAGTGCAAGGAGCTGCACAAGGCACAGAACCAGCAGTGGTAGGAGCCTCCTCCGTCGCAGTCAAGGAGCAAGCCGGCTAATGCCGACTGGATCTCTCTGGATCTGGAGCTGCCGGAGTTCCCGGGTGCACGAGTAGACGCAGTAGGAGCATCAGCCGTGGCCTCAAGCGTGCTTGAGATGCAAAGTAAATGCAAAACCACAGCAAATTATGTCGAGAGGGGTTGGGAGCTCGGGCTGCTCGGAGCATCGACTGGGCTGGGCTGGGCTGGGCTGGGCAGGGCGGGGCTGGGGTTGGCTCTTCTCCGACAGAGAAAGAATGGGAGCCCCGCCTGGGAGCCGCTCAAGTGATTTTACCGAGTGGAGTGGCGCCTTGAGCAGGTGTCTGTTTAACCATTATGTTTAGTTGCAGGCAATTTGTTCTTTGCCGTGTTGCCAAAGTAAACTATTTTTCCGTGCTGCTCCAAGTTCCACTCTGCGGCTTCCGGCTGAACTACACTGTGCTGCAAGTGATGCGGTCGACTTGTCCATCTGAAAAGGGTGTGCACTGCACGGTAATGCCCAACAGGAGTATTCCGAGAGATTCACACGAGAATAAAGAGTGGGAGCTAAAGAACGATTCAACTAACGATTGACAAGGTTCGAAATTGCATGCATCGCAGAGGTAAATGAAGTTTCAGGGATCTAGGAGAACTTTATTGAAACATCAAATGCAGAAGAGAGGCTATTGCTCACAGCTTAGAGCTCGTCGTGGAGCAACGAGTAACGATGCTTGGAGGGACCCAGCTCCTTGAAGGTGGACACAGGCAATGAAGGAGCATCCTTGGCATCTTTGGTCTTCTGTTCAATTACCTTAACGTTCACAGCGGTTTGGTTACTGCTGTAATCCTGCATGAACTGCTTGAGTTTGCCCGGTATGTACATGTCCGAAAATTTGGGGAATGGATACATAAATTTGAGGGAGTCGATGGCTATAATGGGCAGGTCCTTGGCAGACAGGCCCATGTGCTTCACGGAGTGCTCGAACTTCCAGCCATCGACAGTGACAAAGTTGAACTGTCTCCGTTGATCGGCAAGCTGCATTTCCACAATTGACTTGAAGTCCTTAATGGACGGCACGTCCTCGGGCAAATGGAAGAGCAGCAGAAGCGGCAGCCTCTCCTCGATCAACTCCTCCACGTTCGCAAAGTTCACCTCCCGCACTAGAGGCACGCACTTGTCCAATATCCAGGGCTCTACTTGCCAGGGGTCTGAGAGACTGCCTCCATAGAGTTCATCCTGTCCGTGAGTTCGGGCGATGTCCGGACGGAACACCAGAGCGGGAAGTTTTCTGGGGAATTTTTCGTGCTCCAGATAGTCCCCGACGCGCAAATAGAAGTCACAGTCGTTTTTAAAGCGATCCGCCATCATTTGGTAGATCCCATAGTCCAGACTGTCAGTGTCCGAAATGTAGGCGATGACGGCCCGTCTTTTAGGATCTATCCTGACTAGATCATCCGGATCTTTGAACTCGAAAATCTTTGAGCGAAGCTGAGACTTTACAAATTTCACAAGGGCCTCGGTGGTCCTCAATCCCCGATACTCCCGGCGTACCGGCTGGCCCCTGTAGAACAGACGCAATGTCGGGAACTTCTGTATATCATAGAGATCAGCCAGCGCCG